CAAGTCTTCCTTAGTTAAGCTATCTGTTAGTCACTCAACCATATCCACTGTACACTGTGTGCCGGGCATACTTTCTCCCTCCTGGGAATTACAGTCTAGTGGGAAGGCTGAGATAACATATTTGTCCGAGGTCTCACCAGATGGATTTTAATAATATTAAGTCAATAACCGCGGGTGAACTTTGCTCAGTTTGTCCTAATAAATAAATGAAAGGACTTTGATTTGGTATCATTTTTCAAGACAATTGTGACTGCATGAAACTGATTACAGGGTTATAGTATTAATATCTGACCCACAACTTTATGCAGTTATTCTCTTCTAACACACCTGCTGCCTCTGCACCTCATTCTAAATAGCCTGTACACACCATCTTCATAGTTAACTCACTGAGAAAGGCAATAGCTATAATGTGAGGTTTTCTGTAAATTGGGTTTACAGAAATTCTTCAGATGAAGGATTTCATCTGAAATTCTTCCCAATTTTTCCATTTCCTTCAATTCCGTGAGTCCTAAATGAATTAGGAAACAGAAAGGCTCACTTTGGAATAATTGTTTATTTATCCTCAGTAACTTTTACAAGATGCTGTTCTTTTATTGTTGAAGGACTGGGGGTATAAAGCAAAGTTCAGTTTTGCTCAGGACTTAACTGATAAATCATTAATTAACCTGTGTGCCACAAAACACCTCTCCTATAATCATTAACATGATGACAGAATTTCCATGTTTTCCCATTTTCCAATTATCTTTTTCAAAAAGAAATTCCCACATTTCCCTACTGGATGAAATACATTCTGCACCTTCATAGTAATTCATTATTTAGGGAACTGAGATGGCGAGAGACTGGCATCCTGCCCCTCCTGTTACCAGTTTTATAAACTGGGGTAGGTCCTCATCTTCTCTGTTTTTATGTAAAATGGAGGAAATTACACCTGATGTGCTTGGAGAGGAGAAAAGAAGAAGATCCATAGCAAATGTCTCTTATTAAAGTCCCTTATTACTGACAGATAACAGCTATTTAATAGGAACGTTGTCTGTGAACCTATGGTAAGAAATCTTGGATGATATGTCAAGTGACTCCTACACTGAGGATGATACTCTGGAGGGAATCTAAGTTTCCTCCTCATCTGAGTTTTCCATTTCAGTGGATATCATAGTAATTCTAAAGAGATCAAAAGACCCAATATCTTGAAAAACAGTTTTGTGCAATGTTAGTTAAATTATAAATTGATGCCATCTCACTGGACTGCATTCAAAATGTACATACAGCCCTGACTGAGTGTTTCAGTTGGTTAGAGCATCATCCCACACACCAAAAGGCTGCAGGTTCGATCTTCAGTCAGGACACATACCTAGGTGGTGGGCTCGGTCCCTGGTTGGTGCTTGTATGGAAGGCAACCAATCGATGTTCTCTCTCTCTCTCTCAAATCAGTAAATATATCCTTGGGTAAGGATTAAATAAATAAATAAATGTACATACACTTTGACCTAGAAATCTCTCTTCAAGGAATTTACCCAAAGCAAAACATAATTAGGACAGTGCATAAAATTCTATGTCCTAGGATGTTACAAAAATAAAGCTTTCCATTAACAGGGACTTATTGCATCAAATGTATGAAGACTTCCAGCTTTATCTGCAACATGCAACAAGCTTGCAAATTGCCATTCCCATTTTTATAAGATGAAGCTGGACAAACCAAAAACCAATGACTTTTTTTTAGTCCATCCAAGAAGCAAGGTTGCAGAGTAAATTGTCACTCTGAAATTTAGGGATGCAGGCAAATCCTGAGAGTTACAGCCAAGCCTTGCTTGACCTGGAGCAAAAGTCACCCAAACCATAACTAGTAGAAATACTTCTTAAACAGTAATTTTGACAAATTGCTGGAGGACTGGTGTGGAATATTGTGAAGGTGAAAAACTCTCTGGTTACTACAGTCTTAGCAGGACACTAAGATTTTATGGGCCATACCTAGAGGAGCGTCACCATCTTCAGGACGATGGTCCCTCCATTGCTCTGGCTGGGAAAGGGAAGAGTAATAGCTGTGAAATGCACTCAGTGCCTTCATTTCAACAAAGATCTATTCTCCAAGGGAAATGACCTTGCCTGAGCCCTATATCAGCTCTGTGAGGACATCCCCCCAAAGCCTCCTCTAGTTTTCCTGTCTCATCTAAAAAAGGGGAAAAATATACTCAACAGGGATAAGGGCTTCAAGGAAATGGATGGAAAAACTGAAGCCAAAGAAGGGTGTAGACAGTGGGATTTTTTTTTTTTTTAGGTTAAACTGCTGGCGAAATGCATCTAAAGGTTAGAGTCCAAAGACATAGGCCAATCAAAAGATTGATGTCCAATCATAAGATTTTAGGGTACCAGTATAATAAAAAGGATTTTAGTCAAGAAGGAACTCCTAGGAAAGCCCTAAGACAAGAGAGGACACAAACCCAAGGACACCAAGGGAATTTGAATCCTCTGGACATACAAGGACAGCAAACATTAAATCCATCCGACTCCCAACCAGAGTAATCATAAAATCTCACACTAAGGGCTTACTTTCCTCAGCATTTTCATGCATCATGACCAAATTCCATCAAAAAATAACAAGGGGTTCAAAAACGATAGGGAAAAAAACACACTCTGAAGAGACAAAGTGAGCATTCGAGCCAAGCTCAAATATGACATAGATTTAGGAGTCCTCAGACAATTTAAAATAACTATAAATGAAGCTAATGACTGTAATGAGAAAAGCAGATACCATGTTTTTCAGACCATAAGATGCACCTAGGTTTTAGAGGAGAAAAATAGGAAAAGAAAATCTTGAAGCAAAAAATGTGGCAAAATATTTAATAAACTAAATAACATAATATTTCACCAATGTAAATGTAAACAGAACTCAGCAGCATTAATAACCATTATTCCTCCCAAATTTGGGGAGGGGGAAAAGTGCACCTTATAGTCTGAAAAGTATGGTATGTAATACCAAATGGGTAATGTAAGCAGAATGATGGAAACTCTAAGGAAGAGTCCAAGGCAACACAAGGGATCAAAAGACACGGCAATGGCAATGAAGACTGTCTTTGATGGGCTTGTTCACAGACCAGATGCAGCTGAGGAAAGGGTCAGTGAACTTGGAAACAGGTAATGGAACTTGTCAAACTAAAATGCAATGAGAAAATGAGTAGGAAAGAAGCACAACACAACCTTCAAAAACTGGAACAATTTGAAAAGGTATAATATACATGTAATTGAAATACCAGAAAGAGAAGAAAAAAACAGGCAAAACAAGTGAAGTAATAATGGCCAAGAATGTCCCAAAATTAAATACATAATGGTATGTCATGAAAAAATTAGGGCAGGTGACTCAGGTTTATATTTTTATGAAAAATTATATTTTTGCATGAAAAGCTACATTATTGACTATAAGAAGTTTGTAAAATGACATGTATACATAGGTATACATATGTAAAAAGATTTCTGATAGAGTTCTTACTAAAATATGATGGTGAGGTTAATTGTGATTTTACTCTTTTGATTTTGCTTTTTTAGACTTGAATGTGTTTGTTCCACACACACAAAAAAAACATATATTGTGATGGCAATCAGAATAAATTTTTCCTGGTCAATAAAGAAGACACGCCCTCTCAGTGTGCAGTTCTACAATGCGGTAGTTTGGGTTCCCACCCCAGGCAGTCACTGCACTCACCAGGTGCCTCTACTGGGCGGCTGAAGTTACAGCCCATGGAAAATTTCAAGTCAAAGGAGTTTGCAGCCTGCAGAGTTCACAAGGACAAAGCTGCTCACAGCCCAGTGGAGATGAAGAGCAGATGCCAGACTTAGGAACTCAGTATTTTCTCACCTCAGTCCAATAGCACAACGGATTAGACACCCCAGGAGGAGGTGTGCACCCCTGGCCTCTCGGATGCGAGTCATTCCCACGGCAGGTGAGCACACATCATCCCCCAGAGTCCCCAGCCCCAGTTGCCTTTGTCACTGTCCCCCTTTGGCAACACCATGCAAAGGCACAGTCATTCTCCCCGACAACATTTGAAAACCTGAAAGAAAGACACTCAGAGCAACTCGATGGGTCTCAGAAACACAGCTCTGAGTGGGGGGCCGAAAGGACACATATTTACATAAACTAAAAATGCATTTAGCACCAACAATACACATGTAACAAGAATGCATACTGACAGAAAGACACATCTTAAACACACTAAATAACTGCCTACGGAGACTAGGGAAGGGAGAGGCCAGAATGACAAGAGGGAATTTTAAAAATTAAAACGCAATCAAAACAAAGCACTCTAACTCTCAGCTCTCAAATTCTTGCCTCACTCAGGCACCTAAGGGGGTGTGCAGCAGCCCAGAGCCCTCACACTCACTGGTGCCCCTCTCCTTCCCCTTGGGTGCCCCTCCCCTCTTCATCCTTCTTGTCTTGCTCTAAGAGTCCCCAATCCCAACACCAATTCCTTTTTCTGTTCACTTCATGCACAGGATCCTCTCTGTCTTTCTTTTTTTTTTCCAATGGGTTTTATATTTTTTCTTTTTTTATTTTAATTAATTTTATTTAGTTATTTTTCAAGTATAGTTTTTTTGTCTATTTCTCCCATCCCAGCCTCCCCCGCCCCTTGCTCCCCACCTCCCTCCCTTTTCCACCCCCCTTAGTTCTCATCCCTGTGTCCTTCCTATTTGTTCCTCCAAATCCCTCCCCCTTTTTCCCCTTAACTTCCCTTCCTTCTCCCCTCTGGTCACTGTCCCCTTGTTCTCTATTTCAGTGTCTTTGGTTTTTTTTTTTTTTTTCTGCTCGCTTGTTTGTTTTGTTGTTTAGCTTCCTGTTAAAGGTGAGATCATATGGTATTTGTCTTTCAGCTCTCTTTCCTATTTACACTCCTCCTTCTCAGGCCCTGAGCCTTCCCCACACCTGTCACCACCCACCTGCAGAGAGAAGTTCACCCCATGGGACCCTGAAAAGACACAAAACTAACAAAACTGATTCAGAACACACTCACTGTGCCTGCAGGCCTCTCTCTCGGCTCTTTCCCTCCTTCCCTGCTCCCACTGCCTTTTGTCCCCTCTCTCCCTCAGGCACTGTTGCCAGCCCTGAAAGCTCCAGGCTTGTGGGAAGTGGTGACTGTCCCCACCCCAGGACTCCCCTCCAGAGCTCCACCCCTTCCATCCTAATCTCAAAGTCCAGCCTGGGGATGAGCAGTCCGAGCCCTTCCTCTGACCTGCGTCCACAGGGATTTGCTTCCTGACTAGGAGAGATGACTCTGGCCTGGAGACTTGTGACAAGAACTTTGCACCTGGAGACTTCCTCACCCAGGACTCCCAGGACATGGCCTTCCCTGAGCCTGAGCTGTGAGTGGACACCAGGCAGCGGTGCGGTGTGGGGGAGGTGTGCTGAAGAGGGTCAGGGAGAGGGAGGAGGCCAAGCTCTGGAGCCTGTTGCCTGGAATTCTGGAATGTTAGACCTGTGTGGGATCTTAGACACGGATCATCTAATACAGCGGGTCTCACCCTATCCGATCCAGTGCCCCCGTCTCGTGTCCAGGATTTGCCAATGCCCCTTTGTCCTGAAATGAAATTCGTAGGTAATAACAACTGACTATGTAACTTTCAAAATGAAAACAACATGCTACCTTAGCTGTAATATAAAGAAGAAATAAAAGGAAAGCAATTCAAAAGAAAGTATTAACTGCAATATATAGATGCTCAAGGCTGACCACTCTAACAGACACATTTCCACCGGGCCCAGGAGGCGGGACCATCCCCTCAATCGCTGCCGTGGAGACTGAGATTCAGAGAAGTGCGGTCATTAACTCCGAGACTCCCAGGAAACTGGGGCTCGACCCTGTCCTCTCGTCCCACTCAACTCTCTTCTCTTTCCAGCAGAAACTGGGAGAGGACCCGGGGTCACCGGCCATTGCTGGCTTTGTGTGTTATGTCCGGTGTATTTGAGATCTGCACACATACCGTGTTCCCTGAGAACCACACCATGCCCCTCAGTAATGTCCCTCAGGCAAACACAAGAATGAGTAACTATCAACACCTTATATGTGCCACAGCGGGGCCCTGGGCCTCACAACTTCGAATCGGGCATAGGAAACCCTTTTTCTTTCCCCAATACAATCGATTTTATCTTCATTTTCTCCTTATCTTTCCTCTTTCTCCATCTTTTCTTCCTCCCCTCTTTGCTTTTTATTCCCCTGAATTGCAATTCTTTTAAGCTTAATATGTATGATGCTTTAAGTGATTATCTCCTTGCATCTTCAACCAGATTTGTGAGTAGCATTATCCCATTTCACAAAGGAGGAGACAGAAAAATAAAGAATGATGAAGAAATCTGGTCAAACAAATATAGCAGGGACAGCTGGGGGTTCAAAATCAGGTCTGCCTGACTCCAAAGTCAGAGTGATCCCAGCAGGCACTTTCTTACCTGCCCTTCTTCCAGTCCTGCTTGGATTTCTCTTTCCTCTCAGTCACAGATCTTTCGCCGAAACATCATTTAACCCCCAACACTTTCTAAGCACGAGCTAAAATTATACCCAGAGCTTTATGCTTCATAAGAAGGACACTGTGTTGAAAGTACCAGCTGTTGACAAAGCAGGAGGAAATGTCCTTCCTGCGGCCCTGCCCCTTTCCTCCCCTCACCCCTGCCTGTTGTGGAGATGGGCTGACGGTGGCCACGTGTGTCTTAGAAACAGCAGCTGAGGCTCGGGGCCGGGGGTCTCCATCCGCTCCCTGAGGACTCCTTAATGTAGCTCCACTGTGGAGGCGAAGTAACCCTGCCAGCCCTCACCACATGGGCGTGATGTGCTACTCTTTACCTGGCCTTGTAAGACGCTTTGGAGTTTGATTTCTACATTCTTACCTGCTGTACCTTGATATATGCCTGCTTGTGTTAGTTCATCCAAACACACACTCACTGAACACACTCTTCTTAAGAACCTGCTGTGCGCAAAACATCCATCCAATCAAAAGTGTTTGAGCACCTAAGTACACACCTGTACCGTAGACAGGGACGCGGTGAGCAAAGCCGAGCCACGGCCCTGTGTGTCCCAGGGAGGAGGCTGAGGGTAAACAGGTAAACAACTGAACATGTTTAAGGAAAACTCTAGCACAGATACTGGCCACGAATAAAGCCAAGTCAGGGTGAGGGAAAAGGAAAATCAAAAGGGGGAGAGGCGTCAGGGGCTGTGTTAAATGGGGGGTGCAGTGGGTCACCAGGTGTTAAGTGTGGTCAGATATGCAAAAATCAACATGTCACAATCCTGTCTGACACCTACCATGTGATCTCTGAGTGCATGACAGGTCAGGCCTTGACTGTGCTCAGGGTGCACATGTTGGGCTGTGCACGGGCACAAAGGCGTGAAGCAATCTGTTCTCAGTGCCGGAGAGTGGAGAAAATAACTCAGTGCTGCCTTCTTTGTTACTGATGAGCTAATCATTGTTCAATGTATAACATTTCCAGGAAGGTGGGGTATGTGCTTCATGTACCATTTTCTTGTCATCTGCCTTCTTTCCCACAAGGAGGGTGTGCCAGGGCTGGGGGACGGCAAATAATGCCCATTTCTGTGAGCAACTTCCAGAGACTCCTGCAAAGCCTTTTCTCAGAAAAACACGAGAATCGGCCCTAGAGGGAGGTTCCCAGCCCGCACCACTCTGGGCAGTCCACACATGGCCAAAGGCCTCAGAGAAGGTCTGTTCCCACAAGTGCCGAAAGGAAGGGCCACCTGCCAGCCTCAGGATCAGGCACAGCTCTTGCTTGTGAATAATGACAACTGGCCCTCGTTTACTTAAGCAAAAGGGCATTTATTGGAAGGATAAGGCAGAGAGGCAGGGAGGGAAGCAGGGAGGGAGGGGGACGGAGGGGGACGGAGCGGGGAGGGAGGAAGGAAGGGGAAAGTATCAGCAGGAGGGTGAGGAAGGGGCAAGACTGGACAGGAAGAGGCCCCAGGGCTGGGATATCTCCCGCAGGCACACGATGACTCTGATGAGGACCCCCAGCTATTCCCTCCATCTGGTCACTTGCTCAGCACTTCAGGTCCTAAGGAGCAGACATCTGGCCTCACACCCTTCCCTGGGTGTCCCCCATGGGAGGCAGGCATCTGATATACAGGCTGGGGCAAAAGTCGGCTTACAGTTGTTGGTATGGAAAATAATGCAATAATTAATAAACCATAATACAAGAAGAAACTCAGTGTCTCGTACTCACAGTGGTAAACCGATGTTTGCCCGGAGCTCCTCTCTGGTCTGGGTGCTGGCAGCTGCAGCTCAGCGGTGAGCAGACGAGAAGAAGCTTCTCCCCCGCCCAGCACTGCCCCTGATGCATCCAGACCTCGCCTGGGTTTCAACAGGTCTCCATGAGGCAGCATCCGTGCTCCCAACCCTCTGGGGCCCAGGTGGAATGGGGGGAGGTGGGTGCAGCCCTCAAACTGCACACACCTCACATTGACCCAGGCCTGGCCCCCAGCTCTAAAGTGAGTGATAAAATCTTCCTAATTCATTGGCTATCTTAAGTATCAAATTAGATACCCAAAGGGACACATTTTTAAAAGATTTTATTTATTTTATTTTTAGACAAAGGGAAAGAGAAAGAAAATACAAAAAACATCAGTGTGTGGTTGCCTCTTGCACACCCCCTGTGGGGACCTGGCCCACAACCCAGGCATGTGCCCTGACTGGGAATCAAACCCACGACCCTTTGTTTCCCAGGCCCGCGCTCAATCCCCTGAGCTACACCAGCCAGGGGAACACTTTTTTTAAAGTTACCTGCTATGCTAACAGAAGTAAAGCATAATTAGCATTTTTTGTTTTAAATGTATTTTATTGATTATGCCATTACAGTTGTTCTATTCCCCCCTTCATTCCCCCCCACCCTGCACACCCCTCCCCCACCATTCCCCCCCTTTAGTTTATGTCCATGTGTCTCAAGTTCTTTAGATTCTATATTTCCCATACTATTCTTGCCCTCCCCCATCTATTTTCTACCTACCGTCTATGCTACTTATTTTCTGTACCTTCTCCCCCCTTCTCCTCCTTCCGCTCCCTTGTTGCTAACCTTCCATGTGATCTTCATTTCTATGGTTCTGCTCCTGATCTAGCTGTCTGCTTAGTTTGCTTTTGTTTTAGGTGTGGTTCTTAATAACTGTGAGTTTGCTGTCCTTTCACTGTTCATCTTTTTTATCTTCTTTTCCTTAGGTAAGTCCCGTTAACATTTCATATAATAAGGGCTTGGTGATGATGAACTCCTTGAATTTGATCTTATCTGAGAAGCACTTTATCTGCCCTTCCATTCTAAATGAAAGCTTTGCTGGATAGAGCAATCTTGGATGTAGGTCTTTGGCTTTCATGACTTGGAATACTTCTTTCCAGCCCCTTCTTGCTTGTAAGGTCTCTTTTGAGAAATCCACTGACAGTCTGATGGGAACTCCTTAGTAGGTGACTGTCCCCTTATCTCTTGCTGCTTCTAGGATTCTCTCCTTCATTTGAATCTTGGGTAATGTAATGATGATGTGCCTTGGTGTGTTCCTTCTTGGGTCCAACTTCTTTGGGACTCTCTGAGCTTCCTGGATTTCCTGGAAGTCTATTTCCTTTGTCAGCTTGGGGAAATTCTCCTTTATTATTTGTTCAAATAAGTTTTCTACTCGTGACTGTTCCTCTTCCCCTTCTGGTACCCCTATAATTTGGATGTTGGAACGTTTAAAGATGTCCTGGAAGTTCCTAAGCCTCTCCTCATTTTTTTTGAATTCTTGTTTCTTCATTCTTTTCTGTTTTGTCATTTTTTTTCTTCCTTCTGATCCACTCCCTTGATTTGAGTCCCCGTCTCCTTTCCATCACTATTGGTTTCCTGTGCATTTCCCTTCATTTCACTTAGTTTAGCTTTTATTTGTTCCTCTAATTTGTGACTAAAATCAACCAGTTCTGTGAGCATCCTGATCACCAGTGTTTTGAACTGTGCATCTGAAAGTTTGGCTATTTCTTGATCACTTAGAGTTATCGACTCTGGGGCTCTGAGTTGTTCTTGAGCCATGTTTTTATCTGTTCGTGCCTGTTATGTATGAGGAGCGGAGCCCTAGGTGTTCACCAGGGCAGGGCCCCCCAGGTCACTGGTTTGTGACACTGTATGTGGGGGCAGGGTCAGAGAGGGACAATAGCGGTCTCCTCTGCTGCTTCCCACCGCTGGGGCCTGCTCGGTCTGTCTCACTGCTCGCTCCTTCACTGGTTTATCTGCACGCAAATGTGTGACTGAGGTCAGCCTGCCACCTTGGGCCCTCACTGGATCCGCCCATTGCTGCCCCACACCTGGGATCCGCCCATAGCTGCTTGCGTGCCTGGGTGGAGGCATCTTTCCTGCCCGACCCTACTCTGCAGATGGCTCAGCCCTTCTTACCAGTCTGGCTGAACAGTTTGTTGTCAGACTTCTGTATAGTTCAATTTTCTGTGTTTTGGCTGCGTTTTTTGTTCCTAAAACTTTGTTGTCTTTAAACTTGGTTGTGCGAGAAGGCACAATGTTTCCACCTACGCCTCCATCTTGGCGGAAGTCTGCATAATTAGCATTTTAATAAATCACATTAATGTCCTGTCAAATGTGTCTGCTGTGTATTTTCAAGTATTTTGCTGCCTTTTTAAGAGTAAGGAAGCACTTGATAAATGCCCCCTTTGTGTTGGAAGCTGATTAGAAAAATGTCAGAAAAATCTTTGTCATTACAAAAAGCATGTTCCCTAGAACTTTCAAAAGCCCACAAAAATTTATCTCTCCCATTGATCTGGCCCAACTGGTAGGTCACTTTTTCACACTATGATTTGCAGGGAAAGAAGAAAAAGTTAAGGTGACTTATGTGCTCTGGAACTCTCTGAGAATTAGGCAGTTGGAAAATACCATCTAATTATCCACCTGGCATGTATTATATAAGGGTGGTGAACAACTTTTGAGTTGTCCAGGTATATTGAAGAGGAAATCAGTGAACTAGATGAAAATCATTAGTGATCATTGGTTTTTAGCATGAGGCCTAAAGACGCAACATCAGACCAGTTAAAGTGATAAAAAGCAAAAAAAATGCCCATAGAGAGATAAATCTGGGACTCAGTGTTTCAGCAGTCTTTTCCCCACTTCTCTTGGATCTATTTCTCCCCCACATAGCCATGTGTGTACACACACTAATACACATGTACATGCATGCACACACTAATAGACACGCGGGTGCCTACGCTTGCCAACAGGCATGTATATGCCTCACACACTAACAGGTATGTGTATGTGCACACTAATGCATGTATGTGTGTGCATATGCTGACAGACACGTGTGTGCTGCACACACAGAATTCCTGAGAACCCAAGAGAAGCTTTATTAACCCTCAACTCATGTCATCCTCAAAACACAGGCTACTTTCAATAAAGAACACAAAGAATAATTTATATATTTAGATTTTAATTTTTTCTAGCAAATAATGAAAACCAAAGCATTTGGGGAGGAGTTGTCCATCAGTTAGTATTATTGCTCTTATTTTGAATTTAGGTTATTTAGTGAGAGAGGAGATATGAAAAGGCAGTGAACTTTTGAAATGTTATCTGCCCTTATTTCACTTCACTAATTTGTCCCGCTTGCTTGTTTCCTTCCTTCCTTCCTTCCTTCCTTCCTTCCTTCCTTCCTTCCTTCCTTCCTTCCTTCCTTCTGTTCTTCCTCCCTTCCTCCCTGGGAAATTTTATGTATTTCATCTGGAGCCATGTCCCACCATTGTATTTCTATCAGTTGGGTGAATGAATGAATGAATTTATTTTGACTGTTTAAAATCCAGACTTTCCTCTATGAAATTTTTCTTTCCAATTCTCTTCCCCCTTCAGCCCACTTTCATAATTCCTATATTCCAAGAGAATTATTGGAATTAATTTATAATTCCATGAGAATTCCAAGAGAATTATTTTATAATTATCTTGAAGTCAAGAGAGTTCACAGCAGCCTCCTCAATGGGCAATTCCAACTTTGCAGGCAGGAAAAACAGTCAGAAGGAGTGAAGGAAATTTGAATTTTTTTTTCATCTCAGAAGAGTAACTAATGGACAGAGACACAATGAAAGACTTTTCAAAAGGTGAAATTCTCAGAAAACTTAAATTATCATTTTGGGGGGTTGTTTTTATGCATGAGTAGCCAAAAGCCACTTGCTTTTTTAAAGTAAGAGCAAATGAATGACATCTGTGATTCTTTGCAACAGAAAAGTGAGTGAGAGCTCTTTGAAAGAAAACATATTCGGTGCTGTTACAGTTCATCTTCCTTTAAAAAAACAATTGTTCCGTGTGTTTCTCGGGACCGTGACTTCACAGCCACACAAAACACCAACATTTCACCCATGGACTTAAAACTTCGAGCTGAACAAGAGATCCCAGGGCCTCAGCATTCTCACCTGCAACGTTAGCTCAGTAACTGACGTTGAATCTTCAAAAGTAGCAGCATTGTTTTCCGGGAGTATTTATAGTTTCTAGACATCTGTCCCAGTTCTGCTCTTCCCTGGCTCCATTATTCCACTAAAGTCTGTGCTGGAAGTAGGAGGCCTAAGGTGGCCAGTGAGTGAGCGAAAAAACACTGGGCTGGAGCTCAGCAACTTGGAGTTCTACCTTGTGCTGCCGCTAACTACCTTGGTGACCTTAAATTAATTCACCACTTTAGACTGGTTTAGTCATTGATAAAATGAGTATTTTAACCAAAAAGAAAAATCTACAGTTTTTTCTGGCTCCAAATATTTAATGACTGCGGTTGTCCATCAGTTAGGATTCCATCAGTTGCCCAGAGGGCTCAGCCTAGCCTGTCTTTGCTTTTTCATGGTCTTGTGTTGCTGTGGTCTTCAAGTCATTGTGATTTGGAGGAGGGATTTGCCTTTCTCATCTATTTGCATGAAGTATTTCTGAGTATCGAACCTCTCCCGGCATCTCTCTCTCTTCATTCCTGTATGAAAACTCAAGAGTCATTCATTCCTCATCTATTGTCTGCCAACCCTGTACCAGAAACTAAGACAGGTACTGGGAGTCAGGCTCTGGGAAACCCAATGCTTAGAAGACACCTCTACTGACAAAGAGGATGTATTCCAACAACACGTGGCACTGGAAGAAGCTGGGTCCGCTGGACAGAGACATGCAGCTGTCCCACGATGGGGAGGAGCTTTCCAAGCTTGTGAAGACCCTGATGGGGAAAACCACAACTACCCACACCTCCCCTGACTACACTGGAGAAGAGCCACCACCTTTTTTTCTCCAGAAAATTTATTATTGAGATACCTCAGTTTTTAAATCCAAACCAAAGACTAATTTTTTAAACTAAGAAATAAAATATTCTCATAGACTCATAAATAGAGGATGACCACTGTGGATGGGGGGATGGGTAGTTAGGGGTCAGGGGACCGAACGAAAAGGAAAAAGGACTCATGGACACAGACAACAGCGGGGTGACTGTGAGGGGGAGGGGGTATAAGGAAGATAAATATAATGAGAAAAATGCAATCAAAAGAAGAACTAAAATATCCTATGGATTTTGGTAACTGTAGGTAATTTATGCAAACAGGTGTGTGCGATGGTTAGTTGAGGATCTTAACTCATTTCACTTTTAGTAGGTGCATTGTGGGGGTCTGTGACCAAGGTCAGTCTTCATACAAAGCCCAGAATGCCTCCATGTGACTTCGCACCTGAAAGATACCAGGTAAGAGTTAGAGCTCTGGAAAACCTGAAAAAGGTGGCTCTTCTAGAAAAGACTAAGTTCACTGTTTCCTCAAGAAGGAGCCACAGATGCCCCTGCCCGTCCCTGAGCCACCCCATCGCAGGTGGTCTGCCCAGTCTGAACCGCCTGATTTTCTTTGTTGTCCTCATATGAATGGACACGTGAGACTGGCAGGGACAGAGAAAGACAGAGAGCGCAAGGGAGAGACTGTCCATGACAATATATCCCAGGGACAGGGATCCAGACCTATATACACATATAAATGCATGTATCACAAAATGGGATGGTGCGTGTTAACTTTAAAAAGGTTCTGATCTTGACAGTTTCCCTGAGCTCACCACCAAAAAAATATCAAGTTATCATTTTGCTCTCAGGCTAATTAATATTTCTCTCTCTCCAAGATTTTAGTCTCCATAATAATCACAGGTGAGAAACTGTGGAACTAATACATAGTCGGAAAGGACCCAAAGGAAGAGAAGCAGAGGAGACAAGCTGAATAATCATGAACATGAATGTCACCAGCACTCATTTTTTTAATTCTAAAAAACATGCAGCAAAATAAAATAAAATTAAAAAGATTTTAAACCTGACTTAATACTTCAGGCATTTACTTTCAAAGTCTTTTTTGTTTCACAGCTAAAATCAGCTCAGAGCCAAGGGTTTCCACTGAGGTAGAAACTGTCCACTCTCTCCTTCATGTTCAATCTAGAAAGGGATCAGAGGGCCACATCAATGATGCCCCCTGCCTGAGAGGAAGGGCCGGGTCCCCTGCATGGAAGACATCGGGCACATTCACCCACTAGTGAGCACGGGGCGGCAGCCTTACCCTGGGTCAGTAGGGAGGCGAGGCATTGCTATGGCGACCTGCCATCCTGAGAAACGTGGAGACAGGGAAAGGAAGGTTTCTGACGCCGAGCTGTTGTCTGTCCACAGTCCCTTCCCTACGACCGGGTCCTGGAGATCCACAGACAGCACCTTTCTCCTGTGCCGACCGCCTACTTTTCGGAGCCTTTGCTGCTCCACCAGGGGCACGGGCAGTGGCTCTTCGATCATCAGGGAAACAGATACCTGGATTTCTTCTCCGGGATTGTCACCGTCAGTGTTGGTCACTGCCACCCGTGAGTACCTTAAATCCTAGGGTTTTCACTCCGAAGGATGTGTGGGAAAAAGGCTAATGATCCCTCTAGTGACTCAGGACCCCGATTAGCCACTCTCTCCTTAGGGGTATCCCAGGTTATGGTGGGTGCTTCTGTCCTCTTTCCCGGGTAACAAAAAAATCTTACCACTGCACTCTTTTTCTTGATAAGGCAAATTTTAGTCTTTCTCATTGTGCATGCAGTGTGGAGTGCACTGTGTAATCGGACTGTTGTGTACGCTTATCTCTGTGCTGTGTCACTGGTAACAGCTTCCAAAGAGAGGAAAGTCGCCGAGGAGGAAAAGGCAGAAAGAAGAGAAAGGCAGGCAGTTTTCACAGAGCACAGGGCCTGGGGGGGGGGGGGGGAGGGGGATGAAGAGAGATGAGAGATCTTCTCCCACCTGAGGACCTTCCTCAGCTGCTCTGACCCATGAATGAGGGAAGAAAGGACAGTAAGACAAAGATGTAACATGGCTGGAAATTCACCTGGAGAACTTTTGGATCCTTTGACCTTGAGCTCTCTGCTAGCTTGGTGACCCCCTGCCCACACCAATGCCCTCCTTCCGGGTTCAGTTCAGCCATCTCCCCTTAATGTCTGTTTTCTCACGCCTTTAATAATCTGGCCAATAAAATTCACAGTAAGTGAGAGAAAAACAAAGTAGCAAGTTTAAATAAGGGGAATAGTCTAGGCCCTTCTGTCAAAGAAGGGGCGAGGGGTCCTCTCTGCCAGCAGCTGTGCGGCAGTGAGGAGTGAGTTCCAGCCTCGGGGGCCAGCCCTGCCTTCTCCTCCTGCCCATTCCAACCTTCTCCTCTCCATTTCCATCTTCAGGAAGCAACAGTCCTGTGCGAGGTCCCAAGGAGCATGCAAAACAAATTCCCAGGGAAATTTTAAAAAGGACAGCTCCGGCCTGGTCGCTCAGTGGGTTAGAGTATTGTCCCAATTCTCCAAGGTTGAGGGTTCAATCCCCAATTAGGGTACAACCAATGAACATGTAAGTGGGAAAACAAATCAATGGTTCTCTCTCTCTTTTTAAAATCAATCAATAATAAGAAATCTTTATAAAATAAAATAAAGCAACACAAGACAAACACACATGAAAGAAGTAGAGGAAAATGAGGTAGAGAAAAATTTTTTAAGATTTTATTTATTTATCTTTAGAGGGGAAGGGAAGGAGAGAGGGAGAGAAACATCAATGTATGGTTGCCTCTCATGACTCCCCTGCTGGGAACTGGCCCGCAACCCAGGCTGGCTGGGAATCAAACCACACTCCTCTGGTTCATAGGCCCATACTCAATCCACTGAGCTACGCCAGCCAGGGTGAGAAAATTTTTTAACATTCCCACTGTGATTGCTCCTGTTCACTGAGTGTTCTCATTGGCCTTCATGACCTCTGTTCACCTCCTCATCAACCTCTGACCTCCTCACTCTGGGCAGTGCAACCTCTTTCCTTAGCACCCTGCTCTTCCCTCCCTATTCCCTTCATGCCTCATTACTTCCCCCACAGAACGGTCCCCACCTTATGTCGCTACCTCTGGTCATTTAACTGCTCCATTTTTAGCAGCCTTACCCAACTGTATTTCTTCACCTTTGGACCCTCACCAAGCTATGATAATAATTAATAAACCAGAATGGAAATCAGACAACACATTTCCCCTGCCCCATGACATTCCACTATTGGCTGAAACTCAACATTATCAGCACTATATCCACACGTGCTCCACGATACTGTTCCCATCCATATGCTCATTTCTATTCACGTGAGTCAACTATTATATAGAAGATCCCTGCTATGGGCTGGATAGCTGAACAACCGGCTGCATTTCTCAGTGGATCCTGGGTTTTTCCCTATGTTACAAGCAAGAATGTTGATGTCATCTTTGACTCTCCCTTGCCTTTCATTCCCTATAACCACCAAGGTTCTGTTTTCCCTCCACTGAGTGCATCTCCCACCATCCCCTCTCCTCCCACACCTAGGAGGCCACCTTGCCCTCCTAGCCAGCCTCACCAGCACACTCTCCTCCCCCTCCATTCTACCCTCGGGTCGCTCTCAGATTTATTTTGCTAAACGATGCTTTTGCCAAGTATCTCTGCTGTTCAATAGTTTACATAATGAGATACCACCACACACTGGTCACAGTGGTCATCACTAACAAATCAACAAACAAGTGCTGGTGAGGATGTGGAGAAAAGAGAACCCTAGTGCAGTGTTGGTGGGAATGCAGACTGGTGCAGCCACTATGGAAAACAGTATGGAATTTTCTCAAAAAAACTAAAAATGGAACTGCTTTTGCCCATCAATTCCACTGCTGGCATTATACCCTAAGAATCCTGAAACACCAATTCAAATGAACCTATGCACCCCTACATAGCACTGTTCAAAGCCAAGTACTGAAGTAGCCTAAGTGCCCATCAGTAAGTGAATAGATCAAAAAACTGTGGGACATTTACACAATGGAATTCTATGCAGCAGAGAGAAAGAAGGAGCTCCTACCCTTTGCAACAGCATGGGTGGAACTGGACAGCATTATGCTGAGTGAAATAAGCCAGTTGATGAAAGACAAACACCATGTGATCTCACCTATAAGAGGAGCATAATCAACAAAAACAAACTAATAAGTATAATAGAACCAGAGGCATGGAAACATGGAACAGTCTGACAGCAGCCAGAGGGGAGGGAGGAAGGGGATGATGACGGAAAGAAGGGGAAGGGACAGAACATGTATGTATGACCCACAGACACAGACAGCAGTGTGGGGGCTAACCATGAGAGTTGGGGGGTGGACTGGGCAGAGGAGGGCAAAGTGAGAAAAACTGGGACAACTGTACTAGACGACAATATAATATTCTTTAAATAAAAATAAATAAATATAATAGAACAAACAAACAAGTTTCTTGACATTCCACGATTTTCTAACTGGAGTTCCGTGCAACACTGATCGCAGAAGAGGTGTGTTGGTAAAGGCCCTGTGAAGAAACAAGCCTGGGAAGCTCTTTAAAGTGCACCACCTCCTGGGGAGAACGGGAGCGCATGAGACGGCAGAGGTACCGAGAAGTCCTGCAGTCGAGAAACCGGGTCGATCTGGTGTTTCCCGAAATCATTTAACCACCGCACTGAGTTCATGATGTGACAGTTATTAATAACAAACATTGATGTGTAACAAACTTCAATCATCACTGTTCTTAGGTCGAGATGGGACATCTGGACCTGGCTTTTCGGGACACTCCAAGCCAGGACATACACGTCCGTCTACCGGAGTTGGTAGAATCCCTCAGCACAAACCTTCCTTCACGGAGTGCGTCCACAGTTACTCAGTGTTCAGCGTTCCCCACTGCTGAGGCCCGGACAGTGGCGCTTCCTTTGAAGAAGAAAATACTGATCCTGTGTGCATGTGCTAGATGGGCCTACGGTCCTTCAGAAAAATAAGACACGCGGGCTTACATCTAGTTGGCCCTGGTATCCCAACTATTTAAAGTGTGATTAGCAAGAAAACCTAGTTAGAAGAGATTTGAAGTCCAAACTTCCCCCTAAACTAGAAACTTCTTTTCTAAAATCCTTATGAGATCCTCACTTATTCTCCTTCATTACCTTCTGAGTCAGCCCACCCCACTGCCAGACACCTCCGGTGGTTAGAGAGCTTTCTCATGTGTGGATGAACCCGGCCTCTTGACACTCTGAGTTCAGCGGCCGATGTGTGTGTTGGGAGGGGCACACCTGCCTGCAGTGTGGATAACTCTGCTCTTGTGTCTGTCCAGGAAGGTAAGCGCAGCGGCACAAAAGCAGCTTGGCCGCCTGTGGCACACAAGCGCCCTCTTCTTCCATCCACTAAACCATGAATATGCAGAGAAGCTTTCAGCACTTCTTCCCGAACCTCTAAAGGTATAATGCTCCCAGCTCAGAGGGGTGGGAGTCCTGGGAAGAGGGAATATGGGCAGGAGTCTGGTGTGTACATGGAACAGTTGAAACAGTGAGCTAATAGCTATAGCTGAAAGTAATCGAGAAGAAAGCAATTCGGAAATCGCTGGTGAAACCAGCCAACGTCCGGTCCATCGGCACCAGGCCTGTAGTCTCTACACTTGCGGCCATGTCGTCTCCGCAGGAATCACTCGGCAGGAGCTGCACCCCCATGACTCCCGCCTTTGTGCTCCCCGAGAGGTTTTCATCTCTTTGTTTCACAGCTGCTGTGGAAAGAGCAGAGCTATTTTTAAATAAAATAGATTATATGATTCAGTTCATTTAGTCTAAGATGCACTTAGATACTTTTTTTTTTCTAAACGAGATTTTCTTCTGCATCTGCAATGACTGAATTTTTTAACTGAATTGAGATGTCAAAATGTTGGCCAGGATTTGCCTTTAGGGATTCAGTGAATTAATGTATATGTAGTACCTAGAACAGTACCTCGTGTTCACCGTTATTATTATTTTACTACATTATCTGGACAGACTATGTGCTCTGGCACCTAAAACAGAGAAAGGACGTTGGAACAGCTGCAGCCTGAGTTCGGCCCAGTCATGTCTAGGGAAAAGCAGAAGGGCACGGCCGGAGGCCTCCAGGGCCCTCAGTTCTCTCCTTTCTTTTGGCCAAAGTGAACTGCATTTTTTTTAATTTCCTTGTTTTTTCAACTTTCACACACACCAAACTTACAGGCTGGGCTGCAGGATCAGGGAGCCTGCCTAGCCCCAGGCCTGCAGACCAGGTGCAGACCAGGTGCAGACCAGGTGCAGACCAGGTGCAGACCAGGTGCAGTGGAGCCGGGAGACCTGACTCGGATCCACTCAGCCACTCCCTGCCGAGTGCATTGCATGCACTGCAGCAAGCCGCCCTGCTTAACATTTTGCAGAGCAGTGAATAAAGCCAGTGAAAATCCGGAATGTTCCACAACTGGGACCATCCCTGAGCCACTGCAGCATCTGTAGCACTTAGGCGCTGCTCAATGCAAAGCTGTAGCATTAGTACAGTAACTAAATATGGCGACTGCTGGTCTGAAGGTAAGTCTCCGTAGTAATCACAGGCCGCGACACACAGGCTTCAGCAAGTTTGAATCAATGGGATAATAAGAAAATAAACTGAAGTACAAGATCATGTGTCTGTGTTTTCCCTCCAGGTCATTTTCTTGGTGAACAGTGGCTCCGAGGCCAACGACCTGGCCATGCTGATGGCCAGAGCACACTCCAAGAACACAGACATCATCTCTTTCAGGTGACCACACCCAGGAATACCCGACTTTAATAACACTGACTCACCCAGTACTAAATGTCTACCTTTAAAATATGGCCTGGAGGGGTTTTCCAAGGGGTCCATTTCTAATTTTAGGTTTTAAGAAAAGATCCATCAAATGAATTGTCTGATGAGATGACCACATCCAAATTAACCTGGTCCCAGGCAAGGGTGTCCCTGCCTGGGATGACAAAGAGCATGGAGTCGTAGTTTTGTCGTAGATCTCCTGTGGAATGAAAGGTCACATCACAGCTTTTTGACTTTGAAGATGTGCTTTGACTGTGACATATGCCAGATGGAGATTTACTGGTCTCCATTCATAGAAGCTCAGGACTCTCCCATGGGACCCTGGCCCCATTCAATCTCTGCTTAGGCTAAGGCTCCAGCTACACCAGGTCTTTTCTTTTTCTTTCTTTTTCTTTCTTTCTTTCTTTCTTTCTTTCTTTCTTTCTTTCTTTCTTTCTTTCTTTCTTTCTTTCTTTCTTTCTTTCTTTCTTTCTTTTTTTTGTTCTAAAGATGCATATGTAACCCTGCATGTTTTGGCTCCTATGGGTGACTTTTGAGAAACAATCATTTAATAGGTAAACATAAACTCTTGATGGTGACATTAGTAGCATTCAAAATAATAGAAAACTAAGAGTTTTGCTTACAGTTGCCTCCCCTGGGTAATTTTCTATAGCACACTTAAACACTCTTATAATAAGGTTTATGTGAAAGACAGGAGTGAGTTATAGTAAAAGTTGATGGAATGAAAAGCTATTCCCATTCTTTCACCTACATGTCCATAATTTCTGCCTAGATTTGAGAGATATGATTTCCACAAGATTTGATGATCAAAGCACATCCATATAAAATGCATGTGTAGTGACGACAGACATGTAGTCATAGACATGTAGTTTTGTGACTACAAACATTTGCGCTCAGAGACACTACAAAGCATTGAGATTGATATTTTACCTAAATAAACATTACAGAAGATGTGTGTCCAGGTAAGTATTTAATCTTTTCGAGCCATCACGGTGCCCCCAGGATTCAATACTTGTTTGTGTCTCCTCTTTCAAGATATGTGTTCATCCTACCACATAGCCTCGGTACAATGCAGTCCTAAATCTGCAATTCGAGTGATTTTGATTTGGAAACAATGGTTAAACTGGCCTGAAACCAAACTTGGTGATTGGGATTCTTTATACTAAATAAGACTGTTTCAGGTTCAAAGAGAAGTAAGACCTGTATTTCCTCTGTACCAAGTAAGGCGGCTTTTAAGGCCCTTAAAGAGGAGTCCCCCAAAGTGCAGAGCGACAGCAGGAAGAAATCACTGGCTTCTGAAGGTGACTGGTTTGAAGACAAATACTCATTGACTGTACCATTTCTGACATGTTGCTACAGGATGAGTCTCACTACTTCAGAGTAACCAAGTAGGGCAGTTGTTGAGGTCAGAGTTCTTGGCTAGATGGTCTTCAATTTCTTCCACAATTTCAAATCTATGACACCACAGGAAAGGTAAATAAGTCAATTTGCCTGACACAGGCTTAGCAGATTGCTCAGAAAATACTGGAGTTCCACATGAACAGCGTTCCATTCCATCTCCATGGCCTTGGTGGGTTTTCTCTGTTTTTCTGTTGTCCTGTCTGTGTTCCACAGGCCAGAGATCAACGAACAATGAACTAAACTCCATCCTCCTTGTTTTTCCTCCACAGAGGAGCTTACCACGGATGTAGTCCTTACACCCTTGGCTTGTCAAACGTAGGGCAGTTCAAGATGATTCTCCCCAGTGGGTCGGGCTGCCAATCAGTGAGTTTGGAGATTTTTGTCTTATTTCTCTAAAGGCCACTGGGTGTATGGAACAACTGATCAGATATTAGCATTGTCTAATCCAGGTATTAGCATTATCTGATTCTAGGTATTAGCATTAGAAACTAATACAAAGCTTAGCATTAACCAGGAGCTCAGTTTGACTCAATTGTATTAAAGACTATTTGGGGGAAATGGTTCTTAGAAAGGCCTTCAGAGTCTGAGTAATAATTAATGATAGGGTTTTTTAATTTTGTTTTACTCTTAAATACAATCAAGTAAATTGCAATAAATGCATTGAAATTAGTTCTCAAAGCCTTGAATGCATAAAATTGCTGTAGAGTCATCCTTGTTCCCACATTTTCAGCGTCAGATACCTAATTACTCTTATTCTTTCAGATGCCCTTACCCACCCAACCCCTGAGCAAGTTGTGACCAGGCCGACACTGAAAGCAGTTTCCTTTGTAGAGTGCCTACACAACTATTTCTTAGAAAAAAATTATCTCTTCAAAACAGTAAATTAGATTTTCATCCTAAGTGGGAGAGAAATCTCAGCATCGAATTAAGAAACCCTCTTGCCTTGATTAGTACTATATGCTTCCCCCAAGTGCCTGTCTTCAGTTCGTGCTCTGACCAACTTCTTCTTCTGTCATTTGCAGACCATGTGCCCAGATGTTTTCCGGGGCCCTTGGGGAGGAAGCCACTGTCGGGATTCTCCAGTGCAAACGATAAGGAAATGCAGCTGTGCCCCAGGTCCCGCTGGGCGGGGAGGGAGGTACCTGGGGGAAGGGCAGGAGGGATGAGAACTGGAGAAAGGCAGATGCACTCCTGAGTGAACAGATTTGGAAAAGCGGGGAAGGAAAAAGCCAGGGGAAACAAAACTAGAAAGCAGCCCCCTGTGAAACCAGGCCTACCACTGTGGTCCTGCGTTCACGTTATCAGATCTAAGCTAAAAACAGGCTGTCCCTGGCAGCTAATTAAAGAAGCTCTATTACCTCTATTAGCAATAGCTTTGCTATTGGTCCTCAAAGGAAACAAAGTTGATGGGATTATTTACCAATTTCCAACCGAAGGAAGAGAGAGGAAAAAGAATACTTTTAGAACTCTCAAAATGCCAGTCAAAGAGCTCCCCCAGGGACTCAGGATGCCAGTCAAAATGAGAGGATCCGTCAAAACCTAAGGCCATTCCCAAGGGCTTCTAACATCTCTTTCAAATGGTCTGGAGGCATTCTCCCAAGGAAAGTATCTATTCATTGACTGAATTTTTATTTGCATTCTACACATGAAGGTGAAGAGGCATGGAAATGGTGTCTGTTCTCTACTAGTCACTGAGTTCCCTCTTGCATTTGCCATTATAGCTCAGAACATTTTGAATAGCTGCTCCTAAGTAGTGCTGAAGGAAGGAATTAGATGCTCCCGCCAAATGATCTCTAATAGAATAGTAAGTGTCACTGGCTTGATAGGAAGACTGCAAATGGAAGTTATTAAGAGCAGTCTTAAAAAGAAGAAAACTCAGTCATCTTAAAATTCAGATGGGATGATGCAAACAGAGACAGACAGATGCAGGAATGGGCATTGGAACATGGCATCATGGTCACAGAACTTAAAAACGTAAGGAAGTTTATAGCTGTCATTCAAACTCTTTAGGGATGAAGAAACTGAAGTCCACACCTAGAATGCAGGAGACCTAGGACTTGACCCCAAGTCTTCTGACCCCAAAGCCCCCGACCTATAACCACCCTTGTTCACACTGATGTCCCAGCAGGGTGAACTCAGGCTTAAAAATAACTCCTGTGCTACTGGCCAGGATTGAAGAGACACATGGGTCCCACTCCCAGCCCTACCATGGTTCAGCCAGGAGAAGAAAGCTCCATTTTTGCTTCTGTTTTCTCACTTACAAGATGGAAACAATAACATCTGCCTCCCTGACCTCTTATCCCAAGGCATCATGAGATGAAGGCAAGAGAGCTCTTTGTAGAGGAAGGCAGATAATGGCAACACCAAGTACAGCTATACCTGTAACATCTCATCTATGTGTCATCAAGAACCCAGCTCCCTGGGGTGCACCTCGCAGACCTTGATGTGACTGCAAAACGACCCGCACAGAGCTGAGTGGGCAGAGCACTCAAGAGATGGTCATTTCCTTCCCCCTTTCCCCCCCATCCTCTCCACCTCCTCCCTCTTTGAGGCCTTCTCCTCTGCCTTAGGCCAACTGGAAAATACCAGAACCCAGTGGCCACGCCTCTAGTGGCAACTGGAGACTAGATGATAGTGACAAATGTTCATTTCTGCTTCTCTGAGCTGTTGTCTCTGGCATAGCTGAAGTCAGTTGTTTTCTTAAATCATGTTTCCAAGAGGCAATGCTGATACTATATCTTGAAACAGAACTGGAATACAAAATACTTCATCCTCCTCTAGTGCTACGAGGACCTCGGAAGTGTTTGGTCTTTGCTGTAAAAAGGTTCATTCATATATGTTTACCAAAGCATTCCAATGTCTAAAATACTCTGGGCACAGAAGGTTGCCCTTGCCAGGATCCTTTTAGGGTTTCCTCGGGTGTCAATCCTGGTAGAAGTCTTTTCACCTTACCATGATGCCATTGCTGCCCACCTAGGCTTAAGCAGTGGTCCACTCTCTGAGCCTAAAAGAGATGGTTGTGTGGTAGATTTCATTGTCTCCCATCACCCCTTCCTCAGGAGCTTTTCTTCCCAAGTGTGGATTCCAGGCCCTGAATTTCAGATTTAACCTGTGATGAAACACCTCTCGTTACCCACAGCCCCCGTGGGATTCCCAACCTGGTAGTGATCATGTGATTCTTCTTCACCTCTTGCAAAATAGATTTCCTTTTCCTGAATTTTTTTTTTTACTTCCTTGACTCCTCATTCTTCCTACACCACTGGCTGAAATGAAAACACTTCCTTCCCTATTCTGTTGCTGGGATAGTAACCTGCAGAGCATCACTCTCTACCGCCTGGACGTTGTCATGGTGATGCCACTGCACCAGGTCTCTCTCCAGAGGCAGCCTGACCTGCAGTCACAGCAATGAGCCAACAAGGGAAAAGTGAAGTGTAGTAGAATCCCAATGACAGTGGAGGATGCCTCTCATTGTGGAACGAGTGGGCAGTGGGAGGAGATCATGACAGATCAAGCACAGAGTGGAGCGGAACCTTCTCTGGGTTTGATTTTTGTCCAAATGTTAGCCATTGGAGCTGATTTTGCTCTACCCTTTGACTTCTTTAGTTATAAATGGGCTTGCTAAGTCTCCAAATCATGTACATCTTTTGAACGTATGTCTAATCCATCCATTAGGTCATCCTGGACAGTTTTCTCTTCCTTTCTTAAAAATAGAAAATTTCTAGGGGAGAGTGGTGTGGGCGGGTGGGAAGTGGAGACAACTGTACTTGAACAACAATTAAAAAATGGGGGGAAAAATAGAAAATTTCAATCTCTGGAGGCATAGATTTATCTGTCAACTTTATCCTGCCTGTCAAACAATGTAACTGATGCTAAGAATGTGCTTTCTGCATTTGATTATCCTTTTCATTAGTTCCGTCTTTACACCCCCAACTCTAACTAATCAAAGGTATCAGGGACAGCAAGCTTTCCCAAATATCGCTTATAGCATAAAAGTAAGTTTGGGGCCAGGTAGAGTTTAAGGAAGAGCTGCAGTATAAAATAGATTTACACTTCCATCTTGAAGGTTTCTATTCTTTGTCTCTAGTCTTCAGGAGGCAGGGCTCCAGCCAGGCCTCTAAGTGAGTGTGAGGAGGGTCAGAGGTGAGTCTCTCCCAGGCCACTTCCACCATCACTTCCGTCACAATCGCAGCTTCCTCGGGAGCCCTCCTGCTGTTCATGGATATGGGTTCAAGTTCAAAGACTCTGTGGTGCTGTGGAGAACCAAGTTACAGGTGCGACTAGAGATTCTGAAGGTTCTGGGACCCCAGCTGTGTCACAGGCCAGAGACTCCTCTCCTTTCTGCAGTGGATGCTCTGTGTCTGGCTCCAGCACGTTCCTCTCAAGACCGATTTCTAACTGTTCTATAAACATACTAACTCACTGCAAAGACTGAAGTGCTTAGTAGCTTTAAAATTGTGTTATCAACTGAAGTGTCAAAAAAGGTAAATAGAGTTCTCTTCAAATAGATTAAATCCACACGCCAATTACATATGAATCAAATCTATCCAGTTGAGAGGACACGTGTCCGCGGGGGAAGCAGCTCTCTACGCCACACTCGATGGCACTTCTGGGCATTCCTTCACCAGCTCGAAGCAACCGCAGCGGTTTGTTTACGCCTTTGAGGCCACCTTAGTGCACTTGAGCCAAAGTACAAGTCATTCTGACAGAACATTCCCCCTTCAGAAATCAATACCCTCATATCCTGTTTACTGTTCCGTGAGGGAGTCTAGTCAATTTCCCCGTCTCGTTTGCTTTTCTCCTTATGTTTTTCCCCACTCTTCTAGATGCCGTTTTCCCATCTTCAAATACTGTGTTGTGTTTGTTGTTTGCAGACTACTGCCAAGCTAAAGACCAGTATATTGAACAGTTCAAAGATACTCTGAACACATGTGTGGCCAAATCAATTGCTGGATTTTTTGCAGAGCCAATTCAAGTGAGTATGTTAGCCTGAAACACTGACTGAGTTTTAAGTTACCAGAGTTTCGACGCATGCATTCTAGAGGATATTTTCATCATTTAACCATCGCTGTGTCCCTCTCCAAATTCAATTCATTTGCCTTAGCCCCCTTGAAAAAAGAGAGAGCCCCTGATTTTCAATTGACTTATAAAAATACCATCTTCCAAATTCCTGGACTGAACAGGTAGATAGATGAAACTATTAGATTCCTAATATTCTAAAGAAAAGGAAACCCCAGCCATTTTTAGTCTCTTAATACCCACACCATCAAGGGAAGCCTTTCTACAGAGTGGAGCAAGAGTACATTTACAGTTGTTCTTATGGGAAATAATATAATAATTAATTAATGAGTAATAATACAAGAATAAATTCTGTGTTTCATGTACTTATAACTTTAAACCTACTTTTGCCCCACCTTGTGTAATCTTATAAATCCCCTTAATCTACTTTTATTCTAACCTTAGAAGAGCATACATTTGTAGTCTTTTCTCAGAAAGCATGGTGTAAGGGTAATGGTTCTCTCTTTTAACCCATAGTTGAAATAATTCTAGAGACTCTTTAAAATTTGCTGGAATTGCAATTCCAGTCACAATAGCAGAGTAGGTACACGCTGTGCTCGCCTCTGCCCATGCCCACATCACAATTACACTAAATTATAGAACAATCAACCTGGAGAGGCGGCTGAAGTTCAGCCCAGCTGAACAGGAGTTGCTATAACTAAGGATATAAAGAAGACAACATGTCAAGACCGAAAAAAATTGTATTTTGAATATAAAAAATTGTTTTCAATTATAAAAAATTGTTAGTATTACTAATGATGATAACCTATCTTTTTTTAAAAATACTTTCAAAAGGGCCGTGCTGTTATGATAGGTCCTCTTGGTTTGGTCTTTTGCAGGGGGTGAACGGGGTCATCCAGTACCCAAAGGGGTTTCTGAAGGAAGCCTTTGAGCTGGTGAGAGAGCAAGGAGGCGTGTGCATTGCGGACGAAGTAAGTGACCATGGACTCATGCAAAGCAGTGCATCTGGGACAGCAAGGGCCCACGGGGGACCTCTCCAAATGCTCCCCTGTATTCCAGACAGAAAACATCTAGTATGGAAATTCCAAGATGTGGGCATAAGTTAATGAAGATTTTGCTGGTTGGCTGGTTGATTGATTAGTGGATGAGTCAGTCTGTGTAATGAGTACAGATGGCAGAACTTCAACATGCAAACTGAAGTCCATCACGTAAGTTGCTAACGGGCATAGGTAATACCGCCATCACTCAAAATACTTTTCAATTCCTATTTGGAGATTCATCACGAACTACTTAAAAACACACACTAAAAATTTAATCTCATGAACAAGTCTTCATTACGTAATTTTTGCCAAAATAGTGTTAACCATCATGGCAGCATTCACCTTACTTTAATAACAAAACTTGTTTAGAAATTATATTTTTAAAAATTAGCTTCTAAGTTAGAAGAGGGCCACCATTGCCCTGGCAGGTGTGGCTCAGTTGGTTGGAGGTCCTCCCATAACTGAAGGGTTGCGGGTTCGATCCCTGGTCAGGGCGCATACTTAGGTGGTAGAGTTGAGTCCCATCCCCTGGGCGGTACAAGAGGCGACCAATCAGTGCTTCCCTCTCCCATCAGTGTTTCTCTCCCTTCCTCTCTCCCTAAAAAGCAATAAAAAAAAATGTCCTCAGTGAGGATTTTTTAAAGGGGAGGGGCCACCACTGCAGATATTCAAAAACTAGTTTCAAAAAAATTCTAAAATAGCTTATCCATTGTTGGACTAGCACACAGTCCCTCCAAAGGGACAACTTTAAAAGGAATATTCATTGGCTCAGTGAACACTAACCCATGTGTTTATAAAAGTGATCTATTTACTTCCAATTGTCCCTCATGTTGGAGCACATGAAAGAAAACCATCCTTTGCCTGCTGAGAACAGCAACTGGGAGCAAAGGCCAGAGGTGGCGCCCAGGCCCCCAGCAGTGCTCCGGCCCATTCATCACCATCCTACCGGAGACAGTCAGTTCCACCAGGAGCAGGTGGGGACCTTGGATGTTTCACACCAGTTTCAGACCTGCCATCTTTGCCAAACCATTTCCTTCACCTAGACAACTCATAGTAGACACTGGGCACCCTTTCAAAAAATTTTTTTTGCAGTTTCTACATGTAGCCTGGCCTCTCTTACCTCCAGGGGGACTGGATGACAAACCCCCATCCTCGCCCCCACAGTCTACATCCCGCCCCCGCCGCAGTCTTCTGCATTCCAAAGGAAGCACGAACCACCTTCCCTCCTCACCCATCCCCCCTCCCCCAACTTGCTCATATAAGTTAAAACAGCATCAGTTAATCAAAGTCCTAGCTGAAGAAAGTTAATCTGTTATTAAAAAGAAGAAGAAGATTATATTCAACAGGTTTGCAATTAGCTACATCAGTGAAAAGAATAAGCTTTCACCTTTGGAATCAGCAGAAATTGAAGCTGCCACAGTTGCACTAATTAGAGGGAAGGTAGACTGAATTCAGAGAAAACATGAATTTCAGAATTTTCTAAGATATGTGGTTTTGTCATTCTCAATAACATAATTGGAAACTAACACAAGGTGACCTTAAGGACAGTCTTAAAAACTAGGTGAAGCTAAGAATGGCTGGAACTTTCTGAGCACAGGCTACGTGCCAGGCCACACTGTTTGCAATGCTTTGCATGCAGATGCTCATAACAATTCCATAAGGTATGGCCCACTGCTATTATTCCCAGTTTATGGATAACCGAGTTGAAGTCCAGTGTGGTTAAATCCTCTGCCAAGGTCATGCAGTTAGTAGGGACAGAGCCAGAACTCAAATCTGGGCTCCCAGACCACACTAACCACTGGACCTGGCTGCCAGTCAATGGCAGGACAGTGGTGTAGAAGGCGAAAGTTGGCAGAGAAAGAGGAAGCAGGGGATGGGAAACCTGGTGCGAGGCCAGTGCTGTACCAATGGATCTCACACAAGTCATCCTAAGTGGCTAGCCTTGGTCTTCTCCTCTATAAAATGAGAAGTTTGGAACCAAAGAGAGGAAACTGGCCATCCTCTGGGACCAACTGGGCAGCCAGTCTTTGCTGGTCTGGCATGTTTCTAAGTTAATGAAAGTTAGAAGCAGTCATCTCTGCTCTACCTGAAGATTCTGTGAAATTGGTACTTTCTAGGTGACTACATATGGCTCATTGCCCTACAGGGTTTCCTGCCTTGTCCAAACAATCTGATTTTTCACCATTTGCTTATGATACTTAGACAGATGGAGGGAAAACTGAAGGCAGGAAGACAAAAGAAGTGAATCTTCACAAGCTCTCCCTATATTATCTCACTTGGGCAAATTCACTAACTTGCCCAGAGGCCCACAGCTAGGAGGTGAGAGACCCCCAGACTCGAGCCCAGGTCTGTCTGACTCCTAAGTCTAAGCTCTTCTCCTACACTGTTTGCTATCATCTAATTCTGAGCCCTGAAGTCTGCCTCTGCAGCAGCACCCCGGAGACAGCAGGGCCAGTGGGAAGGGAACCCAGGAAGGATGCTCTCTCAAGGGCATTACAGCACCAGCAGCTCCACACCTCCATCCCTGACCTGCCAGTGTGTGTGTAGAGAAACTGAGACAGACCGACAGACAGACCAAGAGACTGAGAGCCAGAAAGAGATCCAGGAACTTTCACCAGAAAGGCTCTGGCAGAAATTTGCATGGAAATGCTGGTGTGCTTTATTCAGCTGGACATTTCTGCCACTTCTTTGTTCATTCTACAAATACTAAATGTCTACTTTTATCAGGCACTCAGCTAGGTGTTCTGGGTAAAGAGAGGAATCAGCTTCAGTCCCCGTCATCAGACATGTACAGTGATGATAACAGTCTAGGGCAGAGGTTCCGAGGGCAGGGGTTGGGGTTCTGAGGGCAGGGGTGAGAGGTTCCGAGGGCAGCAAGCCTAGATGCCCTGACTGGGGTGGGTACTAGGACTCAGGAAAACCTTGACCAAATGATGATGATGAAGCTGTCCTTCATCACTGAAGGACAAGGGAAAGTAGTGAGATGAAGAGGCAGGGAGAGGGTCTTCGAGTTGAACGACACACACAAAACAGTTCAGGTGAACTCTCAACCTGCAGTTAAATGGCTCAGTGGGTCCTCCGTGTGACAGAGCTCTGAGGAAGAACAGGGAGCCACAGGGAAGAGGGTGACCCTCCTGTCCGGGCCAGGCCGCAGGCACCCCAGCCCCATCCGCTGAGGGTACCTCCTGCCTCCTCTCCCCACCCCACCCGCCACCTCGCACTCGGAAGAGCCTCACTGAGGATGGCTGCACCCTGGTGGTCTGGTGCACGTGTGCCCTTCACACGACCCTCCCAGCAGCCCCGTGAGGCATTGCTCTAGATCAGCGTTTCTACTTATGGAGTGAGCAGAGGTGCCGAGTGACTTAAGAAACATACCCAGCATCACACAAAGCTAGTCAATGCATTTCGGTACCTAAAAGCTCAGTGTCACAGATTGAGTGTCTCGTCAATATTAGTACAAAGATGGTGGTGACAATGGCTGAGAGTGATGATACTGAGGAGCAAAAAGAGGGTGGAGGAGGAAGAAGGATGGGGAGGGTGGAGGGAGAAGTGGGGGAGAGGGAGGAAGAGGAGGAAAGTGACGGGCCCCAGGTGGGAGAAGCAGCATTTCTCGAAAGATGTCCAGTGAGTTTGGATTTGCTCTCCTCAGGTGCAGACAGGATTTGGAAGGTTGGGCTCTCACTTCTGGGGCTTCCAAACCCACGATGTCCTGCCGGACATTGTCACCATGGCCAAAGGGATTGGGAACGGCTTTCCCATGGCAGCAGTCGTGACAACTCCAGGTAGGACCTGCGGGCAGTTTGGGTTTGCTTCTGGACTCCTGCAGTCCCACATGTGTGGGAGTTTGGTGGGATGGAGACGGTGATGGGAACTACACAGGCACTTCCCAAGCAATAAAAAATTAAAAATTAACCAGAAACAGTCCACCTGCAAGATGGTGGCACCAATGAGAGCGAGCCGACCCGTTCCACTCTTGCTGTGGGGGGGACCAGTTCTTCCGCCCCCACAAGAAAGTGCGGGGCCCAGGCACAATGAGGGGCTACAGAAAACTGCCCTGCATAGGCAAACCAGCACAAGAAACCCTTGTTGACCAACCTGACACCAACCCTGAAATTCCCAAAGACTGTGTGCTAGAGGGACACTCTTACTTGGTCTTGTCACACCAAGAAGCTGTCAACTCAAGGTCCAGAGTCAGAGAACTGTCTGTGATATCTCATCCAGAAAATGTCACTTAGCCAGAGCATTAGAATTAACTGAATTTTTCATTTGAGTGAGGTATCACAGAAAATAATTTTTATGAAATTCCTAAAATGTGCCTTTCCTACACTGACAAGGCACTGAAGGCTAATTAAGTGTGTCATGAAAGCTCAGTGTTTTTATTAAGCGACTTAAGGTACAAAAATATGAATGTAGAAGGCCAAGTATAAGGACCTGAATATATACTCACCTTGAAACGATCCAAAAATTATATTATTAAGTCCTTGATACGCGGGATTTTTTTTCCTTCTCAGTCCCAAATGTGAAAGACAGATAAAAGGTTTTAGCTTATGAAGTTTCCAAGTAAATTTCCATAAACCTAATTTCAAAGTACTTGAATGTGTTCACACAACACACTCAAGATTTTGTTATCCAACTTTTCATTGAGTAGATAAGCTACTTTTCCTCTCCCACCATATTAGCTAGGAATACCATGACAGGATGCTGTGGGCAGGGCGGGTTAAACAGCAGGCATTTATCTTCTCGCAGTTCTGAAGACTGGTGATCCGAGACCAAGGTGCCAGCAGAATTAGTCTGGTGTGCGGTCTCTCTTGTAGATGGTCTCCTTCTTGCTCTGTCCTCACGTATCCTTTCTGACAGAGAGCAAGAGCTCTCTTGTCTGTTCCTTTGAGGACACCAGTCCTGTTAGATTCGGACCTACTCTTATGACTCATTTAACCTTGATGATGTCCCTAAAAGGCTCTAGCTATAAATGCAGCCACTTTGTGGGTTAGGGCTTTAACATGTGGTTTGGGGTGGGGTCACAATTCCATCCATGACACCCACTATCTGGTGAGAGGAGAATGAGTTGCATATGATGTTGTTTATAACACAATCCAAATGTTCAGATGAGAGATTTTGATAGGAATGTATCCCCTTGTATCCGCCTCTGCTTCCTCCCCCTAGAGATTGCCAAGTCTTTGGCCACCTGTGTTTTGCACTTCAACACCTTCGGAGGGAACCCCGTGGGCTGTGCCATTGGATCAGCCGTGCTCGAGGTACGTTCCAGCCACCAGGTGAAGGTCACCTGTTTCACAGAATGACTACTTCAAGGCCACACACTCATTCTCATGGCTCTATCTCATCACATTACTGAAGAATTAGTACTGACTTAAAGTTAGATTCCCAGTTATTATTCTGACGCCTGCCGCACCTTTTTTAATGATCTAGTTTGAGTGCTCAAAGCATTGAGGAAGAAATATTGGACAAACCTCACATGCACAGGAAATGTAACCCTTCCCCTAGCTAGCTGGTAGCACTGAAATTTCTTTGTTATATGAGTGATATTTTATGGACCATTACCAATTGCTATCACTGATTTAAGTTTAATTTTGGCTCTTTCTGATATATTCTTTTTTGCTTTTTTTGTACTGTCATAAATTAAAAGACTAATAGGTCATCCTATTAGTCATCCTATTACAAATATGTCATCCAGCCACGGCCTGGTCTCACTCCATTGATTTTGCCTGGAGTCACTTTTATAGAAAAAAAAAAATTAGTGTCCTTGGTAACATGCATAAGAACATTTGCTTAAATAAGCTTAATGTATTTCTGAAAGAGCGTTCAAGAATGTAATAACAGCAGTTGCTAATAGGGAGGGACATTTTCTGATTTTTCAACGAGGCACATGAACCTCCTGTTCAAAAACATAAATTTGAAAGTATTTTTAAATAAAAAACCAAGTAAGTGAAAGTTGTCCTTGCTAGTTCAAAAGTAGCTTCAGGGACTTCCACCAAGATGGAGGCATAGGTGGAAACACCTTGTGTCCTCACACAACCAAATCTAAAAACAATAAAGTTTTAACAACAATAAATGCAATCAAACCACACAGAAAATCGACAATATGGAGTCTGAAAACAACGAAATGCTCAGCTAAACTGGAAGGAGGGGCAAAGCCAGCAGCGGAGTGGGTTGGCCAAAAAGATCCCCGACCAGGGTGGTTCGCAGGCAGCCGAGGGCGCGGATCCCAGGTGCGGGCTAGCTAGGGGAGGACACAGGGAAGAGGCGCGGCTGGCTGTCTGTGGTCAGTCGCGCATTTGCGTGCAGATAAACCAGTGAAGAGGCGAGCACTGAGACCGCAGGGCACAGGTCAGTGGGCTCGCACATTTCCACTCAGATAAACAGGGGGGGGCATGCGGTGAGACGGACTGGGCGAGCAGAGAGGACCACCATTGCTCCCTGTCTGACCCCACCCCCACATGCAGTATCACAAACCAGCAACCTGGGCGACCCCACCCTGGTAAACAACTAAGGCTCCGCTCCTCATACGTAACAGGCACAAATGGACAAAAACATGGCTCAAGAACAACTCAGAGCCCCAGAGCCGATAAATCTAAGTGACCAAGAAATAGCCAAACTTTCAGATGCACAGTTCAAAACACTGGTGATCAGGATGCTCACAGAACTGGTTGATTTTAGTCACAAATTAGAGGAACATATGAAGGCTAAACTAATTGAAATGAATGGTAATGCACAGGAAACCAATAGTAATGGAAAGGAGACTGGGACTCAAATCAAGGGAGTAGACCAGAAGGAAGGAAAAAATGACCAAACAAAAAAGAATGAAGAAACAAGAATTCAGAAAAATGAGGAGAGGCTTAGGAACCTCCAGGACATCTTTAAACGTTCCAACGTCCAAATTATAGGGGTACCAAAAGGGGAAGAGGAACAGCCTCGAGTGGAAACCTTATTTGAACAAAAGAGAACTTTCCCGTTCTGGCAAAGGAAATAGACTTCCAGGAAATCCAGGAAGCTCAGAGAGTCCCAAAGAATTTGGACCCAAGAAGGAACACACCAAGGCACATCATCATTACATTAGCCAAGATTAAAATGAAGGAGAGAATCCTAGAAGCAGCAAGAGCTAAGGGGACAGTCACCTACAAAGGAGTTCCCATCAGACTGTCAGCGGATTTCTCAAAAGAGACCTTACAGGCAAGAAGGGGCTGGAAAGAAGTATTCCAAGTCATGAAAGCCAAAGACCTACATCCAAGATTGCTCTATCCAGCAAAGCTTTGATTTAGAATGGAAGGGCAAATAAAGTGCTTGTCAGATAAGATCAAATTCAAGGAGTTCATCATCACCAAGCCCTTATTATATGAAACGTTAAAGGGACTTACCTAAGGAAAAGAAGATAAAAAAGATGAACAGTGAAAGGACAGCAAACTCACAGTTATTAAGAACCACACCTAAAACAAAAGCAAACTAAGAGGACAGCTAGATCAGGAGCAGAACCATAGAAATGAAGATCACATGGAGGGTTAGCAACAGGGGAGTGGGAGAAGGAGAAGGGGGGAGAAGGTACAGAAAATAAGTAGCATAGACGGTAGGTAGAAAATAGATAGGGGGAGGGCAAGAATAGTATGGGAAATACAGAATCTAAAGAACTTGAGACACATGGTCATGAACTGGAGGAGGGAATGGTGGGGGAGGGGTGTGCAGGGTGGAGGGGAACGGATTGGGGGGAAATAGAACAAATGTAATGGCATAATCAATAAAAAAGAAAAAGAAAAGGTGATGACACCACCAAAAAAAAAGTAGCTTCAAATATGATTGCACCCTGAAATGAGCAAGTGTGGGCAGGATGTGTCATTTCTTTCACTGGTAGACACGGCCAACTCGTACTTAAAGGGCTGTGTCACCTCAACCTGTTTAGAAAGTGGAGAGGACTCGGGTGAACAGACAGGTCTGAAAAACTGTGAGGTTCGCCAGGAGTCATGCAATTCCTACCAGCAAATCGTAAATGCAGTATGTTGGCCCTATCTAGTCAATGACAGCCCGTCTGGCTGGAAGCAGCAGACAAAGGCCGACAAGCCCCCTGGAGGGCGAGCCTCTGTGACCTGCCTCACTCAGCGTCTCCTCTCCACCACTGGATCCCAGGTTTCAGCAAAACCAGACGGTACTAAACCTCAGGGTTATGGCATCTGTGTTCCAGACTGCATCGAGCCGCGTCTCCCACTCTCTTCCAAATCCTTACCCTCCCCTAAAGATGAGCAAGGATGGGGGAAGCATCCTCTGTGCCAAAACGTTTTTTCTCCTTGCAGAAAATCTTTCTGTAGTACATGGTCTGGACTTTCGGTTCCATTTGTCTAGTTACATTTCTGTAAAAACAGTCATATCCATTTACCCCTCCATGTTTCTCAGTCGATTTCAGAACTTGTTTTCATGCAAGGCCATTTGGGGCTTTCCCTCGACAGGTGATTAAAGAAGAAAATCTACAGGAAAACAGTCAAGAAGTTGGCACCTACATGTTACTGAAGTTTGCTAAGCTGCGGGATGAATTTGAAATTATCGGAGATGTCCGCGGCAAAGGCCTTCTGATAGGCATAGAGATGGTGAAGGATAAGGTAGGTTCTGACCTGCTCTCTCTTCCCTCTGTGGCTTCTTGGGGCAGCAAGAGCCAAAGCAGCAGCAGTGGCCAAAAGCTGGCTTCACCCGTTCTCAGAAGGGAGCCCCAAGGACAGCACCAGTGTCGAGTAAGAGCCCAAGGCCAGCAGACCCTGAAGAGCTCCAGAGGGTGAGGGTGGGGATTTGGAAAAGGGAACTGGTACTGCTCTTGCCAGACTAGGAGAAGAGCATTGGTGATAACCGAATAGTTAGAATTACAAATATGGAGAAGGGGGGAAATTATTTGGGGAGGGGCACGTGGTCCAGAGAACTAATGGAAATAAGGGAGAAGGGTGTGGTGAGGTTAGGGGTAAGGAAGTTTTTGAAGACCTCTAAGGCTTTGTGTGCACGTGTGTATGTGTCTGCGTGGATTTCAGTCTCCCGAGTAACCAGGAAAGAACACGACTTTCTGATGGCCCTCCCCACTGTGACAAACTCAACATGACCACAGTTGAATTTAGCAGTTTCCCAAACCAGTTATTCCTCCCAAGTTCACGGCTCCTGTTTCTCGTCCTCCACTGCTCCCCCAGTCACCCAGCCTCAATACCACAAAATAACGTGCGACTCCCTCCCTCCCCTGATTTCTAACGTCAGGTCCTATAGACCGTTTGTTTGTCCTGCCTCTCAAAGCCTTCCCTTTGCTTCTGCTGCTGCCCCTACCGTCCACGTGAGTAGGAAATTGTACCCCAGCCCCCCAATAAAACCAAAGTCCAGATCCTCTGAGGAGAGCAATGGCAGGAGCATCTTGGCACAGGGAGGAACATTCCAAAGGACTCCTCTGTGCTGACTCTTGTCCACGGGGATTCACTTTTCTGTTAAGTGACTTCTCGCTATTCAATCTCATTTAGGAGAGTTGCTCAATTCTTTTCATCTTTAGACCAGACTATGGATATAAGACTTTTTTATAAAAGCCACAACAGACCTGGTTTTAACACAATTTTAAAGCTAAGGGAAAACAACAGGGAAATAAGAGAAATGAGAGACTAGGCCACAAGGGCTGTTTGAAGGCTCAGAAAAGTCCACCCCGGTCCCCAGCCCAGCGGCCCCTCAAAGGCTGACGCTGCCTCCCAGTCCAGACTGCACAGAGGAAAGTCCAACCAGCAAGGAGGCCCTGCGTCCTTCCCCACTGTTCCCAGCCCACCTTCTGCAGGCTTGAGGTCAAAGAGGGGCGAATCGAGATGTTCATCGGGACTTGGTTTGTCCTGGTGAAACATGGGAATCCTTCCCAGTGGTGCGTGGTGACATTTTAGGATCGTTGAGAAGATCCTAGTCTTTCTCCCACCCATCCCAGGTCCTCCATCATCTAGCAGTCTGACAGTATGAAGAATATTTTCCTTATCTTAAAGCTTTAAGACAGACAAAAATGGAACTCTTTCAGGAGGCCTGGTCTGATTACTCACCAGGAATGGAAAACTTGAGGAACGAGTCGGATCCGGAGTTGGGGGCCGGAGGTGGAAACTAACGCCTAGAGGGAGGGTGGGTAGGAAGGAAGCCGGGAGGAGAAGTAGGAGGCCCGGCGCTCTGGATGCCCCACCCCACGCCCTACCTCACCGGGACGGAAGGGGCACCTCTGCCTCGGAAACCAGAGCCGGCCCCGCTGCTGCGGCCCAGCTGCCGGCCCTGGGCGCTCCGGATAGGAGGGTCCCAGCCGCCCGAGGGTCACTTTACAAGTAGAGCTGTCCAAGCTCGGCCCCAAATGTCCTCATTCGATAGATCCCACGTGAGGCCCAGATGTCCACAGTTTCAAAAAACTTCAGGTCACGCAGACACATCAACTCGAAACGACCAAGGAGGAGATGCTTACAACTCACAGACTCCGAGCACAGGGGACACACAGGAAGGGGACGGGCCCCCTCCGCAGTGTCCCCACAGAGGCGCTGGCATGTCTGGGCCCACAGGGAGGGACCTACTTCAGATGCCTAGGGACCCGAAACAGCCTCTTGGCCCTGAAGGCGCTTACCTTCCCTAACCCTGGAGGACGAGTCTCCAGGGGAAAGAGCAAGTTCCGCTCGCAGGATAGAGGAAGACAAACGCCCGCCCCAGCTGCCCAGGTGCTGCACGGCCCAGGGGAAGCTTGGTTGCTCGTGTACTTGAGCAAACACTGAACCATTCCCTGGGCTTTGAAAGGAGCTCTCTACAGGGCAAAGCGAACAGCCCAGGAGAATTTCCACAAAAATAAAGCAGACCCCAAATTCAGCAGGTAAAGAACCAAGTTCACAGGGCAGCTTCAGCAAAGCCAAGCTTCGCTGGCTGTCTGCATTTAACTTCATTTTGTCCTTAGGAATTTGGAAATAAATTGGGATAAAACAAATATTATCAATTTTTATAATATTTATCAAAATCAAATATTGAACATTGTTAATAATATTAATTCTGTTATGTTAATGATTATTATTGTTGTTAAATATTTATAATATTATTAATATTTAATAACCACCTCCCCCAAAATCCAGTTAACAGCTTTATTCAACTATAGGGGGACAAAGAGATTAAGAGGGAATGAAGAACATTGATTGCTTCAGTTGCTTTTTTCCTCTTGGATGTAGTGTCTGTAACCATTCAAACACCAAACAGAAATGTTTCGTAAATGTATTTACAGACGAGCCGCCAGCCTCTTCCCCGTGAAGAAGTCAGTCAAATCCAGGAGGACTGCAAACGCATGGGTCTTATCATTGGCAGAGGAGGCCTTTTTTCTCAGGTAAGAGAAAGGCCAGAGTTTATCTGTCACCTTAGGCAGGCATCTCCCTGATGTCCCGATGCTGGTCACTTTCCTAAAGGAGTATATTGAGGGACCTGGCCTCCCGTCCCATGGGCAGAGGGCTCGGTATTGTCAAAAGAAAGTGGCTGTGAGCTTAGGGCCACTAGGGGGCAGTATGTCCAAATGGTTTTGCTCTCAGGTTCTGTGAGGTTTAGATAGAGAACAGTCTAAGGCATAGATGATGACATGTACAGACAAACCAGACGACAGAGGACCAGAGGACAAACCAGAGTATAGGTCATAACAGTCATTCAGTAAACATGTTGTCTCATGTATGAGTTCACTGTAACCCCTGTAAGAGCCATCCTTGTTCTTAACTGAGCCCCGGGCTCTGACTGTGAACCCTAAAACTGCTAAGATTAGTGTCCTCTGTGCCCAGAAGCAACCTAACAGCACTGGCAGGACCAGGTGACCCTGCAGGAGAGGAGGGGGACTACCCAGGCTGGGTCCCTAATGCAGAACTCCAAATCAGCCTTGCCCAGTGCCCTTCAACCTCAGGCGGGGCTGGGGTGGGGGGAGGCGGTGCAGACACCCAGATCCTCCTGCTCGACCACCTGCTGGGAAAGCCAAGTGTGTCCCCACAGTCAGCACTGGTGTGGCACCGCCCCCGAGGACGTGGGCTGTGCTGTCGGTAAAGCACTCTGCCCCTGGACCCCTCACACAACAGGACTCCACCAGGGATGGGCTCGGGCAGAGCTTTAAGGTCCAGGGGAACTTCTGCCCCACCCCAGATTTCTTCTTGTCCTTCATCCTCTCACTTTCCCACTGTGGACTCCGGCTGTTCTTCCCAGGCTCCACGCTGCACTCCTGCCTCTCACTCTGTTTCAGGGAACACTCCTGCTGCCCGCACTTCTCGGCGGAGGTGGAAGCTGCTAGCAAGAGTTCTCTATCCACTCGTCCGTCCCCACATCCATTTCTTACCTCCTCTCCTAAAGGTTCCAGCACAGGGCGTCACTCCTGTCTGAACCGCATCTCCCTCCTGTGCTCTCCTCCCTCACACCTTGTATCTGCAACTTCTCCTTTTCCTCAACTCCTCCTCAGCTGTCAACCGACGGGCTTGGCGCTCTCGCGGCCCAGACAGAGCCGCAGGGCACCAGCCCAGAGTGAACGCTTCTGCTACGGCATGCTCCTGACATTTTCTGAGCCTGCTCTCAAAGACTTTCCAGCACAATCAGAGTAACCATTAAACATCCTAAGATGCACAGCTTATAAAGACATGAAACAATTGATTGCTTACTTGCTTGGTTACTCCTTAATTATCTGGCAAACACATGCAAAGCAGCGGTTGCTGCGCTGGCTGCTGAAGCTGCCATAATAAATCAGATCTGGTCTCTCCCTTCACAGACCAGTCAGGAGAGAAAGATATATCAACAGAAAATTACTATGCAATATAGTAAGCTCATTAATAGCTATAAAAAGGAGTAGTATAGCCCCAGCTGGTGTGGCTTAGTTAGTTGGAGTGTCATCCCATGAACCAGAAGGTCTCAGGTTCGATATCTGGTCCGGGCACATGCCTACACTGTGGGTTCGGTCCCAGGTTTCGAGTCCAGTCCCCGGTCAGAGCACTCACTGCATAAAGGAGAAGAAGCTGATCAATGTTTCTCTCTCACATCAATATTTCTTCCCCTCTCTCTCTTCCCCTGTTTCTAAAAATCAATAAGCATGTCCACAGGTGAGGATTAGAAAAAAATAGGAGTGTAAGAAGAAAGAGCAGGGACTCCTAGGCCAGACTTTCTGGCTCAGCCGAGCCTTAAACAGTGAGATGAGCGAGCACCCCAGGCGCAGGGGGGCCCCTGCAGCGTGCAGAGAGCACCCGCACACTAGTGCGGCTGCCGCCTGAGGCTCAGGCAGTGACTGGTAATAACAAACTTGGCCCTGCATGTATTGACTCACGTCATGCTCTCAGCGAGGCTATGAAATAAGGACTTTGATTATCCGCATTTTACAGAGGAAGATAATGAGGCACAGTGAGGTGAAGTCAACTGCCCAAATCCCCAAATCCCCACCCAGTCCATGGCAGAACCAGGAGCCAGTCGCAGGCAGTCTGATTTCCGCATCTGTCCTCTGAGGAGGGCAAGGCTGAGGGGACAAGACTGGAGGCAGGGTGCCCAGGTGGGGTTGATGGGTGATGCTGCTCGGCCTGGAGCAGGAGCCGCTGTGATAGGGGAGGGTTCAGAGGACAATGCTAGAGGTGAAGTGCACGGGACTCGGGTGTGAAGAGGGAGGGAGAGTCGAGGAGGGGTCCCTCACGTCTGACTTGGGTTAGGCAGGATGAAGATGAGCTCAGCTTTGAACAGGCTCCGTTTGAGGGGCTTAGGAACGTCCATTTCTGCGGACACGTCTGTGGCTCTGAGGAAAGGATTAAGGTCAATGTCACAGTGTAGGAGCCACCAGCACAGAAGTAGTGAGATGAGGATGCCTCCTGGGAAGTGTGGCTTACATCAAAAATACAGTGAAAATTCGGTGAGACGAAGCTAGATACCTGCACACCCACCTATAAAGGGCAGGCACGGGAAAGGCTGTCTGAGTGGCGACAAAACAAAGGGCTGAGAAGTGTGAGAGAAGCTAGGAGAGCGTGGAAGCAGGAAAGTGGGGAGGTTCCGGGAGAAGGAAGGACCATAGTGGCAACTACAGAAACATGCCATGGTATTCCACGTGTCGCAAGTCCCTGGTGGCTTTAGCTCAAGCGGTGTTAGAATGTTGGTGGGGCAGAAAGCAGACTGCAGTGCGTTGAGATGTGCACAGAGGGAGGGCAGGGTGGAAAATAACAGCCAATAAGTGTCATCAACCTGTCTTTTTAGTAAGTTTGCATGAAAGAAGAGGATAGCATTCACACGGTCGCTGGAAGGGACCAGGCAACCAACAGATTTTTATTTGGTGTGGTTTGGACTTGGATTATGAGAGCTATAAACCTGCTTGTGTGCATAGGCTGAGCAGATGAGAAGAAGTTGAAGATGCAAGAAAACACGGGATGTTTCCTGGAGGGACAGTGATGGGAGTACCCAGGGCCAAGGGCACAGGTGGATGAGTTGGGGTTGAATAGAAGAGACACCTCAATCTCCGAACTTTCAGTCCAAGATACAAGGGTGTGGGATGGGAGCAAACAAATTTATAGAAAGATCTTGCCTGACAGCCTCTGAAAAGCATGAGGCAAGACTGGCTATGAAATAGAACGAGAGGCGTAGGAGTGGAGCTGGGAAATGGAGAAGAGTGGGAAAGGTTTAGAAGGAAAAGGGAAGCTGACAGAGAACAAGAAAAACTTAGGGGAACAGCAGAATTTGGAGACCCTGCCTCTCTAGAGGTATCCAGCTGCCCGGCGGCATGATCTTCTTTCCCCGATCTCAGCCACCTGTGCTGGCGCAAAGCAGTTCAATGACAGCCTTGATCATGGCTGGGACTCTGGGGCGTGGGTGCAGCCGCAGAGGGCAGAAGGAAATGCCAGCACAGTGAGGGGGCAGGTGAGAGAGTACTTCTGTCAACCACGTGTTCCAGGCTGGGTAGGAGAGAGATCTGAGTGGGTGATAGGTCTGAAGATAATGGAGGGATGGGGAGACGGAAGCCTTCATGAAAAGGACGGTTGCCATGGGAATCAGAAATTGAAATTGTTCCTAGGGAGGAGGCAGCTTGTGGCCCTGGCCGTGTGGGCAAATGGATGGACGCAGAGAAGCAGAGATGAAGGTTCTGGGGGGTGCAGCAACCAAGGAATCGAGAAGTGCATTTGTTGGGTTGCACACACGGGCTTGGAGGTCCCCCCTGGGCGGTGGCAGAAATGGGGTCTCACGAAGGAGGTGCAAGGACCAGGAAGTGAGCCGAATGACAGAAAGGAAAGGGGACACAGCCAGGTGGTGTGAGAATTTTTGCAAGACTGGAGGGTGAATGGCCCCGGATCAGCAGTGGAAAGACCAGCCCATAAGGGAAATGCAAGAGATGCCATCAGCGCAGAGTTTCAGAGTCTCAGTGCAGTGCCTGAGCTCAGAGTCGCAGGTGAACCGACGCCCACGGCGCCTCTCTTCTCCCCTGTCTCCTCAGACGTTCCGCATCGCGCCCTCCATGTGCGTCGCCAAACCAGAAGTTGACTTCGCAGTGGAAGTATTTCGCTGTGCGGTAATCCAACACATGGAGAGAAAAGCTCGGTAAAATTCAACATATAAAAACCCACAAGCCTCGGGAACCTCCCACTTACGTTCAAGAGCTAACGTGAGGAACCTCAGAACCCCTGGTGTAAGTTGTAAAAGATGACTGCCTGCCAGCCCTGTTTGTTAACAGAGTCCCATTATGCTGGTAAACCCTGCAGGAAAGGGTCTGTCTCGCTAGCTCAGAGAATAAATCCTAACCAGTCTAGGTTAGTCATGGTAGTTTGTTTCCCCCTTGCAATGACTGGTTTCTGCACGATCCGTGACATACTTTGGAACAGTGAATCCTGAAGGGAAATGCTGGTGCGGGTGCCATTAGGGAAAGGTTTCTTTCTGCATGCTTCATTCTTCATCTCCAGAAGAGATGTCTTCTTGTCCTGAAGCATCGTATGTCCTGATGGGACCTGCTCAAACCACGTCAGCCACTTTGGGGCCATGAGACCAAAGCTATGTGTGGGCATCAGAAGGTGTTAGAAAGATGAGTTTTTAGTGAGGTCAGTGAGCCACTGACAACCAGTCTGGAGCAGCCTTACCTTGTGGCTTCTTGTGATGGGAGGTAATAAATTCATTGCATTGAACAAGACTTTTTTATTTAAGTTTTCTGTTTTTGCAGCTGTAAGCATCCTGAAAAATGATGCAGAAGATACCCAAATTCCTTTAACTCCTTTAAAATGTCAATCAGAGAATTCTCCATTTCCACTGCCATCATCCCAGTCTGGACAAAAGGCCTCACCCCTCCTCTTGCAGTAAATGGTCTCCAGTACAAGAACTGCCCAAACTCTCTTCACTAGAATCCACATTCACCGTGTTTTCTCCCATATGTGTTTACCACCTGGCTCAGAATCGACTTATTATTTTTCCTTAATTTGACTTTTTCCCATTAGGTGTATTGGAGAGTAACCTTTCTGCAATTATAGTAAGTGAAAAATCAGCACCACTTGTCACAACTGGAGAGTATCATGAAAACAGAGTGAACACATAGCAATGTAATTCCGTTCTGGTTGGAGCCAGTTAAGCACTGCTGTTCTCAACCTGAGGCGAGCTCTTTTTTTGATCAAAACAGAAATTAGAGAGTATGTGAAGAGTGTTTAAAAAATACTGGCAAAGTGCATCCTCTCCTTAACACAAACAAAAAAGAATCCACAGAAACGAAAGGGAAATAACTTTCTCAAGTGCAACGCAACGTTCATTTCAGCTGTGCCCCCATGTGAAGCCAGGTCCTAATGGTCTGTCTGCTCTCGGAGGTGTCTGTCCGTGCCACCAGCTCCTCCCGCACTCACTGCCAGATTTGTCTCCCTCAAGCACTGGTTGAAATATGGTATTTCTTTGCACAGAAGCTTCCAGTTGCTCCCCACTGTCCCCTGGATGAGATCAAAACCCCTTTAACAAGGAACTCAATGTTCTCCAGTGTCCAATATTAAAATAGAGAAAGTTTGGTGGAAAGATCATTGAATTAAGAGCCAAATGACCTGGATTCTAAACTCAGTTCTTCCACCTATTGGCTCTGGATGACCTTGGGCAAGCCTTTAACCTCTTGTTAACCTCACTTCGTCCCCAGGCACATCAAGACTTGCCCTTCCCACCTGCTGAACTTTCTTGGGAGCTGAATGAGGTAATAGATGTCAAAGTGCTTTGCAAACTAATGAGCTACACAAATAGAAAATTCTCCGCTTCAGCCTACATAACCCTTCTTTTCTTCAGTACTTAGGCTCCCAAGAGCAGTTTGGGGGCGTTGTTTATACTTCCTTGCCCGCTGTCCATGCCTCAACCACTGGGACCTCAATTCTGCCTCTTGTTCCTTGGAAACGACCTTCTCAAAAGCCCACCAGGGACTGCATTATGGCCAACACTTAGTGTTTCCTTGCAACGTTTCTCCTAAACTTCTTATCCTTCTTGACCAGGACTTCTGCCATACGAGCCTTGGATCTCAGATGGCTCCTTCTCAGTCCCTTTCGTGGCGACTCCCCCACTAAAGGCTCTGTCCTGGGTCCTCTCCCCTCCCAGGCTGCGTTCTCCCATTGGAGGTACTTCAGGAAGGTCACCTTTCTTGCCTACCCGACTGACTTCCAAATACTCATCTTCGGTCCCCACCTCTTCTCTGAGCCCAACCCCAAAGGAATCTCTTCTTGACTAACGTACCCACTTTGTCTCGGCCTCACACTTAAGGTCACTATTTTTCTCCAAGTGTGGATGAAAAAAGGGGCCACATACTAACCTGACCAGCTCAGGAGGGGCCTGCGTGGCAGCCTCACAAATGCAGAGACCTCAAGTAACCACACAGGATGGCCTGCAATTAAAACTCACTAACTAAAAACAGTTTACACAGGTAGTCATGTCCTAGGCTAGGCTCTTCCCTGACAAAAGTCAATCTTTTTCTGAATTAATTCTGTCTGTTGTCTTTTCACCTCTACAATAGCATCCCCTTGGTATGTCAAAGTAATTTCCTCCCCCACCCCCACCCCTCAACACACAGACGCCATACCAAAGCACAGACGGCAAATCCCCTCATTGTTATCGTTATCATGCTAACTGTTGTCTGTTAACTATCCTGTATCCACCTATGTAAAAAAGTATGAGTCTATCGTTTTACTTTTTATCCAATCCCAAAGGTCTCCCTGCTTTGCTTTCTCTTGTCTCTCTCATCTATCACCAATGGCTCTCACGTAGCCCACTTACATATTGTAATGTACAAAGCAGGGTGCAGAACCACCCTTCTCTGAAGCATTTTCTCAATCCATTGAGGTTTCGCTTTCTGGCAATTGTCATCAGTCCAGCACAAATAAACTCACAAAAATTCCCTACAGGTTTGAATGTTTCTTATGCCAACAAAGTTATCTTTTTGCCCTTTATATGACTAAGTCCCACGAATACTTTGTACAACGTAATCTTTTCAATATGGTCCAATCATACCCAGGCTGCTTTAATTGGACCATCACCATCTCTCCTGAGCTATTTTGTTTGTGATAATAAAGTGTCTCCTACTCCTAACTGCTATCCTAAACTCCTTCCCAATCCATCCTCTACCCTGATACCAAAGTCGCTTATCAAAGGGATAAAAGTGATCCCATCTCTTATCTCCTAGAGCCTTTGAAGGCTCCCTCTTGCCTGTGGAATGAAGTCCAAACTCCAACTATTATAGTATCCAAGCGCCTTCATAATTTGCTCCCAAACCACTATTTCATCTCTACTCCAGCCATTCTTTCCACATCACGCAGGATGGTCCTTTGTTCCCACAGTTCCCTCTACCTGGAACATTCTTCCCCCTTTTTTGTTAGTAGAAATATGGGGTCAGGAAGATTGAACAAGAAAGCCAGCCCTTACTTCTTACTTATTCTTCAAGGCCCTTCCATCTTCAATGTTCCTTTTCTTGTAAGATAAAGAAAAAAGGGAAGAACATTAAAAATATATTTATGATAACCATTTCAGAATTTAGTAAACTATGAAGAGGAGACAATAAAACACAAAATTCTTAAACATATAATCTTTATTACATTTTTCCATTTCCATTTAGTCCTCCCGTACCTCCTCCCTGCAGCAATCGCCACACCGTTGCCACAAGCCCTTCTTCCTTTTTGCTCAATCCCTCCACCCGCTAACCTCCTCCCCACTAGCTGTCATCTGCTCTCCATCTGTGAGTCTGTCTCTGTTTTGCTTGTTAGTTCAGTTTGCCCATTAGATTACACATATGAATGAAATCATATGGTATTTGTCTTTCTCTGACTGGCTTATTTCACTTAATAAAACACAAAAACAAACTTAAAACAAAAGAAGTTTCCATGCTGAGGCTAAGGTCCTAGCCACCATCAGGACTTCCTTTCCTGGAGAAAGGCAGCTGAAGTTCACTGTCAAGTAAAGTCATAGGAATATGCCTTGTGTCTTCCCAAGTCCTACAGGATCCGGTGTATACCTAACAGTGTGCCTGTTAGTCCCTCACCTCCAGGGGACATTGGAGAGTAACACTCAGCAACGGAATGCCAAAAGGTAGCCAGGTCCTGGGTCTGGTCCTTGACCATGAGTCTGCATGGCTCCACAGGAGTGCCTGTTGAGGACTTCATGTGAGTGGACCATCAGAGGCATGGAGCGGGAAGGGCGAAACGGTGGCCTGGGAGCCTGTATTTATTTCTTTCACCAACTAGTTAATAAACACGTTGGTTTCCTACTTCTTTCCATTTGGAGCCGTGGGCAGGAGCTTAGCACCGCCATTCCTCCCCTTCCACTTTCTGCTCTCCCCACGGGAGGTGGGAGGAATGCCAGCTTATATAAGGCAGGGAGCCCACATCCTTGCCAAACTCTTTTACTTCCCTTCCTGTTAAAACTGCCTAAAGTGAAGATAATGAACACTCAGCTCAAGTAAACTTTTTTCCACATATTGAGGGTTAATCATGTGATGAGAATATAACATTAAAATATTGGCAACTAAACCCTTGGGATGTCAATCTACTTAGGAGGAGATAAGTTTTCTTTAATCGCCTCAAACTTTCATTATGCTATTAACAATAATGATTATAAAGAGATGTCAAATAACACTTGTAGTTGGTAATATAGGGATAAACTATGCTGTTATTTTTATCATAAAACTCCCCCTTTGTAAAAACTATATCAGTGTAGTTTTTAACTCTCCAGTAGCTCAAGTTAACTTCAAGAATTATGGGAGGACTTCATTCTTCTCCCACCTGTAAGTCCCACTGAAATCCCACCTTTCCTGCAAAGAACGGTAAAAGAACATTAGCAACTATCACAGCCTTTGCCACCTCCTCCCCCAAACATTCACGCCATTCGCCACAGTTCGGAAGGCCACCGGCCCTGTGACGTTGGCAGACTGCCCGGGCCAGTTAAAGCTGAAGCCTTGCTTCCGACTGAGGCACAGATGGGAAGAAAGACGCAACTTCGCCCATTGAAAATGGGAATAGAACACCACACCACAAAGTACTACCTCACCAAAAACAAAAGGTCCACCTAACATAGGAGGGGTGAAGACAGAAACAAAAGCCTAACCCCATCAGTCCCTTCAGGCTTGGTTAAGAGAAAGCAGGCCGGCTGGGCTGACGAGGGGCAGGTGTAAGGAGGGCTGGTAGAGCAGACGGCATCATGCTGGCCACCCAGGCCAGAGAACAGCTGTGCAGAGAGACGGCAGAAACACGGTTTAATATAAAACGGGTTGGGAGGGCATTGCAGAGAGCAGCTAATGGAAACACGAACTCGTAATTAGACGGGACAATGCTGGAGGGGACCAGCTGATTGGTTCTGGGCAAATAAACCTCTGTGAGCTGAAGCTTCCTGGGGTCCGAAAGGAGGGCACGATCCCCCCAGGGAAACCTTGTGAGGATTTAAGAAAGAAAATACATGGGCAGCTGCTCAATTAATTTCCTTAGTGTCCCTTTCCTCTTGACACAGAACTTCTGTAGGTGGAGGTTGGTTCACCCCATCTTGGGATAATGCTTATGCTTGTGTATCTACCTCAGCTCCCTCACCAGACTCTGAACGTCTTCTCCATCCTCATGTACTCAGGGCCTGACTCAGGGTTCCTCACAGAAAGACAAAAACCAGCTCCTAGCTGTGCTGTGGGCGTTTCATCCATAGATGCCATAATGTCACCAACAG